CTTAGTATAATTGCGTACTGTCAACGATTATTTTTTTAAAGTATAATTGCGTACTGTCAACGATTATTTTTTTACGCATAGCTGCTTGATACGCGGTTGCGCCTAAACACAACTGCTGAATCATTCTCCCATGGTAAGATAGAGCTAAATGATGCATTATTACTCAAAAAGTTAGGGACAAATGGGACTGCTCGTTAAACTATAGCGGATGCATCTCTGAGATAATTCAATCAAAGATCATCAGTACATTTAGTGATATAGTCACTTTGAGATAATTCAATCAAAGACCATCACTACATTTGGTGAATAAAATTTTTTTTTAATTAAAATAAATTTTTTTTTCTGAAATGTTAGTTTTCCTTCAATGAAAAGAAAATTTTTTCACACACAGCACACTATTAGTCATCATTGTTATCAAATAAATATAGAAACACTCACTCATTCGTTCGCTGTGACTTGGATGGAAGTTGTTGTCGATATGGATGTGGAGGGGTGGATGAATTCTATTTTTGTAGAAAAAAATTTTTTTTTGACTACTGCTCAAAAGAAAAAAAAATCTTCCCGGGACTTCCATGTCAGGTATAAGGGTTCATGACGCCCTTACCTGATGTGTAGCGGGTTTATATAGGTCTTTACTATAATATTTATCATACATAGTTATATACAGAAAGGGAAAGGGAAAGGGGGAAGAGGGCACCGGCTCCTGCCGGCGGGCGGAGGTCACTGCCAGAGGTTGGCTGTCTTCGGCCAACCTCCTTCTCGAGCAGCTGTTGTAGCTAGCTGCGTCCCGACAGTGAGGAGCAGGAGATTTGGGAGATTCAAGGACACAATTATAGGGTTCTTGAGGAAATAACAAAGTTAAGCTGAAATTGTGTAAAAATTTTGTGAAGGAAGAAAAATGCGGGGTGTCCCAAAAGCAAGTACACACTTTTCAATCGTCAATATCTCTTTTCCCAATGGATCTTTTTTTGCCAGTCAAGTACCATTTTGTAGAGGAGGCTTGAACTTAGATTTACAGTGTCGATCGAATCACCATCGCCCTTCGTTACTGTGGAATTACGGTAAGAACTTCCAGCATATGGAACCGTTGTGAAATAAACCACCTAATAAAATTTTTTTCAAAAAATCTGAAAAACCGTGTACTGCGGTTTTCACCACCCTGATTCCACTACACAAGTTTTTGCGAGTGTGTTCAGCTTTTTTGACGGTGTTATCACATTTCCGATAAATACTGGGACTTCTATTACGGTTTACCTGGGACACTTTCGAAAGAAACATCACAGCAAAGTGAAAATTTCATATTTGATATCAGCAGCTTCATTACCATAGCATAAGGGTTTTTGGCTTGTTTACTTTGTTTCGAGGCAGAATATGGCTTCCAATGGCCTAAATGCTCTCGAAGTTCCCACAGTAATCCTACAGTAACGAAGAGTGAACGGCGATTCGCTCAATACTGTAAGTCTAAGCTGAAGCCTCATCTACAGAATGCTACTTAAATGGCGAAAAAAAGACACAATGAGAAGAGCGGAATTAACGATTGAAAAGTGTGTACTTACTTTTAGGACACCCTGTATATGACTTCTTTTCACAGCCACCTCAGATGGCTGTCTGGGTGGCTGGAAAGCCACCTAACTCCGAAAAAAGTTAGCCACGCCTTCAGTTCACATAATTTTTTCATAATTTTTTGCGCATAGTCCAAGTCCTTATGGCTCATCTACACACCAATTTTAGTGTCATTTCGTTTTCTCTCAGCTGCAAACAAGGCTTTTGTTTATTTCGGGCAGGCTTTTTGAATTCGCGCGCTTAACCGGCGGACCTGCTGAAACAGGAAGTTTTTGTTTTTTTTTTGCAGAAATGGGATCGACAAGGCAGGAATGACAATCTGCGTCCTCTATAGAAAATGAGAGGTGACATAAGAGGGAGAAGGTGATTGTGAGGGAAGGAGGAGGGGGCGAGAAGAACTGAGGTTCCCGCTCAAACGATATTCCCCTTGCCTTTTACCCCAAAACGATATTTAGCTTGCCCCGCAAGCCACCTGTGCCGAGCCCTGGGCCTACACAGGCAAATTTTTCAAATTTTCCTTTCTGACTTTTGGAAAAGTTCTGATGACAGCTGGATAGAGTAAACATATTGCACTGATTGCAATTTCAGGCAATTATACATGGCTTTTCTTTCGAATTATTTTTTGGTGCTGTCTTATTCCATATTTTTTCTATTTCAGACCTTTTGCAACATCAACTACTAGGGTGCCATTCAATGCAATATTTTTTTTCTTTCTCTGATAGTTGGTTTTCCTTTCTAGTTGGTGAAATCCTCGGTGACAGCAAAGTTTTATATCTTGAAGTGCTCAGTCTTGTGAAATTATTGTTTTGAACCATAGATTTATGAGAGTTTTAAGTTTCGGAAATCAATCGGTGTTTGAAGCCTTTGTGTATTTCATGTCTTCGCAAAAGTGAAGACTTGGAAAGAAATCTTGAGAAATGATAAGATCTAGATGCCAAACATGAATAGCGTATAACGTTGTCTACTCATCCAACTGCTATCAAAGCTTTTCAAATTGTCGAACTTGAGCTTGATAAAACCTTAGGTTAGAAGCCTGGCGAAAAAATTCTAGTGACTACAGAGTTACTAGTTCACAAACATAACAGCTGAAGAGAAGAAAAAAGATGCGTTGAATATTTCTCAACTACACATATATAACTTGCATGAAATATCGCTTGCTTGCTGCAGAATTCACCCCCCCCCCCTACACTTTCAACTTCACTTGTTAGTCATTTATAATTGAAGCCGTACCACATGTTTTCAACTTGCTTGCTACGTATCGCAATAGATTAAAATTCAGAAAGATTGCAAAACTTGCTCGCCAATTTTGCAGGTTTCTTTTTGAATTCCAGACAAATACTTTGTAACTTTGCAAATGACAGATGACATTCGCATTGTATTGGGTTGGCACGTGAGTCGCGCAAAATTTCTTAGTAATCTGGAAGCTGGAATGAATGGACTTGATATAATGTAAGTTAGAGGGGTGATATTATGCGCTTAAAGCAAAAACCATTGTTGTGAATCAATGGCAGTAAATGGTCATGAAAGCGAAAATTGAAATTTCTTGAATTTTTAATTTTACATGGCTATACAAGATAAATAATTTCGTTCTGACATGCAACTTCTATAACATTCGACTAGTATCTAATAGGCTGAGGTCTTTTATGAGAAAGTAACTTCAGCCTTTACTCTCGCATGTCGAACCTCAAATCTTTCCGTCATCATTAAATGACGGTTATGTCCTTAAGTGGCTAGCCTTCTATAAAGTCACTTTTTTGACTTTCTAAGTTCCGTTCTCAGCTTCTAATGAGTGCAGACGAGTAATCTAGTGATTGAATGCTCACAACCTTCAAATTTTCAAACTTTTGCGTGAAAGTCGATTTTTGTGCATACACGTTTGAAAGTGAGCATCTATAGTCATGCAATTGCTCAGAAATTTGCGTGTTTGTTGTGTAGATACCTAATCTACATCGTTTCTCGAAGCATGGTTTCTCGAAAATTCGACGAAAAAATTTGACTTTTTATTTTTTGCACCAGTTCGCCATCGAAACAATGATTTCCGATCAAACACATTTGATCGTCCAACTCTCCTTGACTTGTTCTTTCGACTGGTTCTAAACAGTAGTGCATAAATTAATTCGTAACGTTCCCACGAATCTCAAAAACCACCTGAATAACAAAGAATGTTGTTTTTTACGGAAGAGCAACAAGAAAAATCGGGAAAAATACATGAAGGGTATCATTCGATAGATAGCAAGCTTTACTAGATAACAACTGAACATTGGCTTAAGTCGTGGTTTATCCACAGTTTGAAGCCAAAACATAAAAGCAACTCACATTGCCACAATTTGGTTCGCCCCAAAAAAATCCCGCGGGCCTCTCACTTGCTCCAGCATGTAGCAGACACAGAACTTATTCATTTGTGCACTTGCAATATGTTTTCGATCAGAAATGAGGACAAAATTGAAAAACGAAAAATGGCAAACTCCCCCTAGTAGTCCTGGGCTCCGACCATACATGGATTTGTGTGCTAGAAACCTTCGGGACCTCAGTCATGAAATTTGAGCCTTCGATATTTTTTAATTCCTAAGAAATTTCAAATTCAATGAAGAAAAAACGAAAAAAGCGACATTCTTTTCTTTTAACCTAATATTTTGCTTGAGTTTCGACCTACTCTAATTAACTAAGGAACTTGAAAAGATAACTATTGATTGGAAATCCCTGTAAGCTCTGATTTCCTCCAATTTTAATTATTTTCAGGATAAATCTTCCTATTTAATCAGTTTACATCTGTTTACCGAAAGAAATGTGATGCAGATCGAAACGAGTACTTAAGCAATTCTAAAAGGAACTCTTGGAGGAATTTTCGATGCAAGACTTATGTTTTAGTCTAGAATCTTGTGAAAAAAGCAACCCATCGATTTTTTAGCAATTGTGATTTTTGCAGCCAAGAGCTAAGGAAAGTCGTATCGTATGCTAAATCGTACAATGCTTGTTTTCTCGTACGGATCCGCCATTTCCTGAAATGCTGTAAGCAGTATGATAGTCTTTATCAGAAGTAATCTGCATAGTCAGCTCCTAGGCTGCAACTACTTAGTGTTGAAAAGTATCTTTTGGAGTTAGTGATTTTTATGAGAATTATTTCGCATAGCTTTTGATTTTTCCACCTCCGATGAAGCTGCAAGCCAACACGTTAGCCTAAGAAGTAAAGATTGATACCAGTCTTAACCACTGCTCAAACCGAACTTTAAAATTTACATTTTCCAGAAATGCTACCCTGTAAGACCTTGCATGCGATAGAAACAGATCAGGGACAAAAGCCAGGTTACGCCCAACATTGTTATCAGTACTACTTGCGCAAAAATGCTTTTCTATCTCAAACTTCCATCTTATCTGGCGCTTAGTTACGTCATGAAAGGGTATAAAGCCATAGGCGGCGTGCAATTTACGCCTCAGCCATGTTCGCTAAGCTTCTTCTCGCTGCAAGTCTTTGTGAGTCGACTTGATTCCTCGTTATAGCTTTTCCTCCCGACAAATCTTTATTTTCGTACGTATTTTCAGTGTACGCTGCTTATGCAGACACATGCATTCACTGCATTTGCTTGCACGAATCAGGATGTAAGCCCATTGGATGCAACATGGATGTTGGGTCACTCTCATGCGGTTACTATCAGGTTATTGCATTTATATTTTTTGGAGCATTTTTTTGAATAATATAGACAAGTAACTACGCGCAGAGAGTGGAAATTATTACGTCCGAGTAAAACAGTATGTTTTTGGAGTAGGCGGCAGACGGCAAGAGGGATGAGAGTAGGCTTGATTAAAGAGACGCCGACAACTTCCGCCATTGCGCCCTGTCTCTGCGCACGATGACTCGTTCAAACAAATACTTGTGCACAGACGGAAGCAGATCGCATAAATGAATTTCTAATCACAGATCAAACTCCCCTACTACGAGGATTGCGGAACCCCCGGACGCAAGAGCGGTGAAGATGTGACTACTGCTTGGAAGAGATGCGCCGATGACTACAACTGCGCCACTCAATGCGTAAATGTGAGTTTCCACATATTTTTTATTCGAAAAAATTTCAACTGCATTTATCAAGGCCTACGTCAACCGCTACAAGGGAGGATGCTCATCAACTGGTGAAGGAGCCTGCCAAGTTATGTCTCGCCTTCACAACGGTGGTCCATCTGGATGCAAAATCTCCGGTACCGTCGGATACTGGAACGTTATCCAGAAGTGCTGCGGATGCTCATAAGTACATGTACTTGAAAAGATAGCAATAAATTTATTGATTTATTCATGTTTCTTCGTGGCAAAAAAAAAATGAAATCTAAGAAGTGGATTTCTCCAAGTGATGGTCAGAGTTTATCTCCTTACAGTGAGGCTATATTCTTGATCCAAAGCGAATTCTATTTGTCATCCAAACAATTGTGATTCTTCATTCTGCTTGCTTACTCTTATATGACCGGCATCTCAAATTTCAAATATTAACTACAAGGTCGGATTTTTCACCAAACTACAAGGGTCTTCGCATCAAGCACAAACAAACTAGGCTTAAGTGAAATATCACATATGATTTGCATAGATACAGATTACGTCGAAAACTTTTGAAGGGTTATTTCCCACTATTTTTCAGCATGGTACAACAAACCAAACTTTTTAGAACAAAACTAGAACTTTTGAAAGCTTGCCACAGCAGAGAGGAATTCCGAAAAATCTTCCATCTATTCCGAAAATCGTTCTGCAATCAACTACCCACTATTTTCTAAAAAAATCCGAAACTCACGCCCTTTCTGCTATGGGTATAAGTAAAACAGGGACTTCCTAACAGCATTTTTTAGTGAAGTGGGATCCTCTAATAAAGAAAGGATACTTGGTGGCCATAGCCATTTGGAATGTGATGTATTAGGTTGTCCAGAAATTAAAGCCCGTTTTGAATTTCAACCGCAATAAGTCATACACTTCTCATTTCTAAGTTGTAAAGTACCATTCGATAAAGCAAAGCAAGCTCTACAAGATGGCCTTCTTGCTTTTGCAGCAGCTCTCATCGTCCTTGAGTTTTTAGCCAAAAACTAAAAAGATTCAACTGCCTGAGAAATCGAGAAAAATCGTAAATCTCTTCATAAAAATCCTACAAAAATTCTAACTTGCCCACGTAAATACTGTCTACACAAGACATCTATACACGCCGTTGCCGTATTTTTTCCTCTGTTAGAAATCAAGAAAATGCAAATTTTCGTGCATTTGCCAAAGTGATGCTGTGCTGTCCCCACATAGGTATCGTCGATTCGTTGGCCGTACGGACTGCTCAACCGCTGCGGACCACGCGCGGCGCGGTTAAAATGTTGCTAGAGCACGATTTTAACAATGACGAGTTTGTATTGAAGCAAGCGTTTTACCTCGCGGCGCGTGCTCCGCGGTTACGTCCAGTCCGTACAGTCAACGAATCGACGATAGTTGTACACAAAGCCCGTAGAGGTACAGACTTAAATTTTCAGCTCTCTACAAGCTTTAGTTATCGAGGAGTTTGAATTTTAGCTTGGATCACCTAACTAGGGAAAGCTATATTCGGTATTTCTCGAGAACTAAAGCTTGTAAAGAGCTGAAAACTCTGTACCTCCACGGGCTTGTGGTGGACAACTACCTGTGTGGGGATGGCTCAGCATCACTTTGGCAAATGCACGAAAATTTCCGTTTTCTTGGTTTCCAACAGAGAAAAAAAATGCGGCAAAAGCGTATATAGATATTTTATGTGGGTAGCGTTTACGTGAGCAAGTAAGAATTTTTGTGAGATTTTTATGAACTGAGTTACGATTTTTTCGATTTTTCAGGCTGCTGAGTCCTTTTTATTTTTGGCTCGAAACTCAAGGACGATGGGAGCTGCTGCAAAAGCAAGAAGGCCATCTTGTAGAGCTTGCTTTGCTTTATCGAATGGTACTTTACAACCTATTTGGAAATGAGAATGTATGACTTATTGCGGTTGAAATTCAAAACGGGCATTAATTTCCGGACAACCTAATACACCGTAAGATGCATCTCAAAACGCTGATTCTAAATCTATGCTCAAAACTAAGAAACGATTTTCTGAAGGTAGTTACGAACTTTTTTTCGTAAAAGTTGCATACTTTTAAGAAGTTGAAATCACCAAATTTGTACCAGGTTAGCGTTTTAGTTGAAGAGAACCTTAGAAGGAGTATTGCTGTAGTTTTACTTATCCAAACCAAATTCAGCATTTGGAAAGGAAAGAAAAATTTTTTTAGATGAATTTGACCTTCCGCAGTAGCGCATTTTATTATGAAAAAATCATAATTTCATCTAGTTTATCGGTTCGCATATATGGAAGACAGTATTCGAACCAGCATTAAAAGGAGCTTCTTTTTTTTTGATATACAGGTCATTACGAGTGGCCACGGTCACCGAGTATACTTTTATCGTGAGTGTTGTAGCTCTCATAAAACAATTCTAGTAGATATATGCGAGACCCCATCCGAACACTTCATAATCACTAATGATCTATGGTTTTAAAGGACAATCTACCATATTTAGATGGCTTTCTCAAGGAAACGCACATTAGTCCACTCATCTGATATTTACCGATGGAACAAATCACCAGATGCATATTCTCGTTATGCAGTTTTTATTAGTGTTCAGCGAAAGCTATTTGAGAGCTATGCCTCGACATCAACACAATCTGGCACTAGTCTAGTTAACATCCAAAGAATCGCGGAAACACAAGTTATTATCTACTTTTTTTCTCGAAGATATTCGTGAGACGCTAAGCATAGTTGCTTGTTGCTTCATATCTTCCATATTTGAGTAGTTATTTGCTCTTATACAGCCATTTCAATACTATGCACCGAATGCTGGCTTGTTTCCAGTAGTAATATGATCGCTTTATCGTATTGTGCAACAAAGGCCTGTAAAGTAAAAGAACAAGACAGCTGATAGCGTTTATCAGGCCTGTTGGGCCATTGGAATCATTTTTAGTACGAACTTCCGCAAGCATTAGCTTATCAATGCGAAGTTGAGCGTAATTCTAGGCTTTATCTCCAACTTTATGCACCATGAGAAATCTTGAGTGGAAGCAATTTATTTTGACATCTCTAGCTTTTGAATGTACTTTGTATACTGTGACATTTCATAGTTCAATTTGGGAAATTCTTGCTACACTCAGTCCTCATAGTTAAGGTCTAGTTAATATTTACCAAAATTTTCACTTTTTCTAAAATACTTCCTCAAATATCAAAGATCACAGATGGGGCATGCGTGCAAGTCCTTCCAGATAGAAGAAGGAGAAGAAGATAGTGCCAGCCCAACGTGTAGGTATTATTTAGTAACCATGAGACGTGACTTCCATGTACAAGTGACTAGATTTTTAGACGTCCGAAAATTCTATGTCCTCAACAAGGGAGGGATACTTAATTGAAGTGGCGTTTCCACATAAGATGTACATTATCTTATAGAGCATTGGAAGCTGATTCCAAATTTGCTTTCGGTATCTGCAAAGCTTTTTTGGAAGGGAAGTTCTGGGAATTTCTAGAAGTAATTTCAATTATTTAACGGATAAAAATAGTTGTTGAGGTTTTTCCGACGCTTGAAGGGACTAATGACTAACATGAGCTTATCAGATTGAAGGTCTCCATAAAACTCAGATAGTAATCATGGCCCCAGTTGAGCTCACAGACTAGGTTTTGATTGATTCTATTGTAGCGGCGTTTTCAAATTTTCGCATCAAAAATTCCATAACTCCCCTCCCAGAAGCGCTCTGCAGATATCGAAAGTGGATTTGAAGTCAGCGTTCCATGCTCTATAACACATTACACATTTCGTATGGAAACGTCACTTTGACCAAGCATCCATCTTTTGTCAAGAGAAGGTCTTGGAGCGAAATATTCAGCTGCTCCAAAACTGATCGGCTACCAAGCTGACTGCATTTATGATAGAATTTTGGAAGTTCTATTCAGGAAAAAAAGCCTCCAGCAAAACTGAATAGAAAACTTTTCGTGTTTGCAACAAAATTGTAGTCATTCGTTTATTTTAATTAATCGACTACGACAGGAATGAGGTAGTTACAGCGAAGAGATGCATAGTACACGATGTAAGTAACTAAACTTGACTCTAACAAATGGCTGCTTGATTTTTAGAATCCAGTCGTTGCCGAATTATATTCCTTGGTGAAAGCATCCATAAGTGAGTACAAGCACTGAGGTACGAGGCCATGTTGACGAAAAAATGTTAGTAGCACTTGATGTACGTACAAGTACTGTTGATCTGTCTGGAAGGTAGTAATTAAATCTCATTGAAACTTCTAGCAGAAGTTTAAGAAATTACAATCTGTGTCAATCACGAACTCCCTTTTGCGTACACGCAGCCGCAAAGGGCTTTGCGTGCGGACTTCCAGTCGATGAGGACAATTTGGCCTTTTACGAGTTATATGCGAAAGCTTCGCCGTGGCGATTGCGCCGATGGATTGGGAGCGGGCAATTGACACAGGCTGTATGCATGCTCCAAAATCTTCCAGATATTAAAAAATATTGAAACTTGCCTGTATGCTATTACTACGCTGTGTTCTGAGTTGTTGTAAATAGACAGGCATCTCTTCTAAAGGCTTTCCATTCTTCAAAACTTCCATGGCATGTTGTAGCAACACCATAGAACCTGTTCTTCCGATACCAGCCGAACAGTGTATAATTATAGGTTTTCTAAATCAATCAAATGAATTTTGCAAATACGGCTGGAAATACCTACTTGGTATTTCCAACATTATGCAGAAGATAAAGTGGTGCTGTATCCGCAGGAGGTACTCCTCGATCGGGCCAATCCATCCAGTGATAATGACAGCAGTTATGTGGAGGGTAGCCAGGCAGCGAAACTTGTAAGAAGGTGAGCACTACTTTGGTTCTTGTTTCAAAAGGAAACACGTACTGAAATCAACAATTTTTACGGAAATTATCGGGATCGGGATCCAGTTATGCTGGTTTGACACGTTGGCAATGAGCCATTTTTCAATGATTTGTCCCTGTGAACGAGACGTTTTCGTGCAGCACTACGCTCGGCTGCACGCATATATGCATGCATCCATGAACGAACTATAATTTGCGCAAGCCCCGCCCACGTGTCAAGCTCCGCCCACTCGGCAAAAAATGTGCCCAATGGGAATTGCCCAAATTTCAAGAATGCACGCGAAATCCGCCACTTTCGAAAAATGGGCGAAGTTGCCACTGAGGGTGCGGAGTTTACCTGACGGCGAGGGGAGGGGGGCTCGGCTCAAAATCTCTTGAAGTCTTTGCGTTCATCATCCATGCTTTTTGTAAACAAAAAGGTTCCTTGTGAGAGGCATAGCAATGGGCGAAGTCTGCCAAGGGGGAGCTAATATAAATGGTACGCCAAAGCCTATGTTGATTAAATGAACACAAACTGAGAAACTTGGACAGATAGTATTGAAATAAAGAGCGCCGCGCACCACTGCGCGGCGTCGTCCACAGAGACAGACTGCCTGCCGCGCACCATTGCGCGGCACGTGCCGTGTCAGTGCCGTGCTAAGCAGTGCCAGCAATCACATAGACACGACTATAGATCGCCGAAAGAGGAGGTTCCGCGCGGCAGCTGCGCTAAATACGCATAAAGGCAGTGTTCGGACAAGTGGGGTTTTGACCTCACAAGGGGAGTTCACTTCGAAGTGACGATTTGGAAGGAGATTTATACCAGTGTATAGAGCTTAAAAAGCTGATCTCAGATATACCTTCTATATCTGCGATGCTTTGTTCTGAAAAAAGTTATGAGCTTTTCTAAGGCCAAATTTTCGTCCATTTTGAGTCGCAAAATCATGATAATCGCTAAACAAGTGTGCATGCTTATGCAAACCAACTAGGAAGCATTGTAGGTCTAATTCGAGTTCATCCGAACGTTCTCGAGTGTATTCCGACCATGTTGTTAGGCCGTCATTTCTTCCTAGATCACACTTCCATGATATATACAAAAAAGCCCATAACCTCCATCTAGAAGAACGCGTCGCAGATATTGAAGATATATTTGAAATCCCCTATGCGACGCGTTTTTCTAGATGCAGGTTATGGTCATTTTTGGATACATAATGGAAGTGTGATCTAGGAATGAAATGGCGACCTGTTGATGAACAACATGGTCGAAAGACATTCGAATGCGTTCAAATGAACTCATTTAGACCTACAATGCTTATTAGGTGGTTTGCCTAAGCTTGCACACTTTTGTGTAGCGATTATCATGATTTTGCGACTCGAAATGCACGAAAACTTGGCTTTAGAAAAGCCAATAACTTTTTTCAGAACAACGCATCGCAGATAAGAAGGTATATCTGAGATCAGCTTCTTAAGCTCTATCCACTGGTATAGATCACCTTTCGAATCGCCACTTCGAAAGTGAACTTCCCTTGTCAGTGCCATGCGAAATAATATCTGCTGCATGACGAATGCGGTTGCCCAAATAGGTTGAAGGCTGTTGCGCACGCGGCGCACGGGCAATTGTCAACCACCGGGCGCGCGCACGCTCGGTCAGCGGTCATCCACTGGAGCGTGCGCGCGCCCCGTGGCTGACAATTGCCCGTGCGCCGCGTGCGCAACAGCCTTCAACCTATTTGGGCAACCGCCTTCGTCATGCAGCAGATATTAGACCTCCTCGGAACCCCATCGCGCGACTGCGAGGCCATAACGTTTGGCTAGAAGTGCGAAATCCTGTCGGAAAGTTGGGAAACTTACGCCCTGGGGCGGATTCCTCCACCTGTTCGAATACTCGCTCAAAAGAGTACTCGATAGAGTACGCGTGCCGCCGTAGTTCAAGTTGTAGGGTCCCGCAGCGACTCTGCGCCTCAGCTTTGGCGGCAACCGTCCATTTCAAAATGTAAGGCTTTGGGAATGCACGTTCTAGCCATTGCACTTTCTAAAGTAGATTTCCGGATTCAGCGTTTCGGGTAACCCCAGGTAAGTGATTTTGATGAAAACTGAATTTTCGCCCAAACACTGTCCCTAACATGCAAGAAATGCGTATTTGTTGCGAGGCAGGTAGTAACCTAAACTACCTGGTAACATCATAGATGCCAACAAGTTGGCAGAGTCGAGAAAAGTTGCCAACTACATTAGCTCGCGGATTGATGATAGATCTTGATAATATACATATCTATCAGCGGTCACTATATCCACTAGAATTTTGATGATGCGGCCCATCGAAAATGTTGGCAGCGCGCAAACCTGAATCTGTGTGCATCGACTTCGAGCGCGGGAACACTACGCAATCAGTAAGTTTTTCGTCCTCTCTTGTTGAAACCTCGGCATAATTCAGGTTGTGTCAGTATAGTGTAGCCAGCACGAGGTTTGGGTGAAGCTTTTTATTACATCAGTGGCCTAACGCGTTTCGACTACTCGTCGTCTTCGGAGGCCTTTGCTCCACCGCCGGTCACTTGATGGTATAGTGCAAAGGCCTCCGAAGACGACGAGTAGTCGAAACGCGTTAGGCCACTGATGTAATAAAAGCTTCACCCAAACCTCGTGCTGGCTACACTATACTGCATAACCTAAACTACGCAATCAATTCAACCACGTGTATACATTTTGTTTCTCGAAGAGCTGAGAGTGATATTGCAGCACTATCCAAATCTCCGGCCACCACCAACGAAGTGTCACATATGGTAGGGGCACTTAAAAGTGCTGGCACCCTTTACCCTTAAGAGAGCACACTTTTTTCGTGCTTTTTGACCTGCCGGCAGCTCTTACCTCGTAAATTTCGACAAAGTGCCGGCACGTTGCTGCCAGATCAGTCCGCGAAATTGCCAGCGGTTGGCTTCTCTCTTTTCAACTTTGTCGTACAGGAGTTTCAAAATCTCAAAGAGCGTTACAGGTTTCTTCAATGTCGCTACGACATCTTCAACCAGGCATTTTTTCTTCGTAAAAATGCTTTTCACGGTCTAATGCGCAACCTTAGTTCTCAAAGATCTCATGGAATTGACGGCCGATTGACGACGAGACCTACCGCCTGGTCGGGACGGAATACTACCGACCCGGATGTCTCCGCGCAACCTCGCTCCCCTTATTGATCAATTGAGGCGCTGGCACGCGCTAGCTCGGCACTGGCACTTCTGGACACAATCGCGATTGAAGATGTTCAGTGTTGCGCTGAACCATTACTAACTTCTTCCTGGCTCTTGAAGTGCACACTGACGTCGTTGAACACCAATGGGGCGTTTTGTTGTGTCGGAAAATAAACCGCGCACTTGTTCGACTTCTGAACAAGAATTCTTCGAGCACCTAAGCAACTATTTAGCCTTCGAACTAACCTGCTCTACAAAATTGCATAGCATAAGGATGACTTGTGCTTCCTCTTGCACGACCATGCACCAAAATTCAGCACATGTACCAGGAAGTGGAGCCTATATTCAGATCTCGAGGTCATTGTTATTACGAGCACACAGCAAAACTCTAACCTGTGTACAAATAAATTTTCTCGGATTATCGGGGGTGGACACATAATTAGCGTGAATATATGAGCAAGGACCTACATTTAACACAACACGATTGTTGTCCAAGCACCCAACATCCTAAATTGTTGATTCTAACTAGCAGTACGCAATCATCGGTATCAATAGAACAAACACTTAACAGTACCTTGTATCGATTTTTCCCTGTAGATGTATGAGCCACAAACTCTCTCATTTTCGAAAAATCGTTTACTCTCTTCATTGAGCGAAAATCTGCTATCAGCCCGTGAGGTCCCTTACACAAAGTCTGCCGCACAAAATCTTTCACCTAAGCAAAAGTTCGTGAAAAAAAAAGATATTCGGTTTGCTTGCTGATTACCAGTCGTCTGTAGGCAATTTTGGCTTGTTGTGTTTTGATCGGTGGCAAAAATGACCACCTATTAGAGTCTAGTTTTGTCGCTGAAGGACTCTCGTAGGCTTTCGAGATTGCTTCTCCTCTAAAACTAGTTTTTTGCGAATCAACAACGTGATACCAGCACTCACTTCTCTTTCGGCTTGAGATTAATTGGAACAGATGCTGTAATTGTAAAATTTGAAGAAAATTCAATGCTTCCGCTCTAATTTCATACAAACTAGCTGACTTGCTCGCGGGGCTCTCTGCATCCCTCAGGAAGTCATTACATTTAGCGCGATTTAGAAAGCAAGATACATGGTTGGATATTTATTCTGTTCCCGTGATTCCCGTCTACGCCTTTGCAAACCTCATTGACGACTTTTATAGTCTTGGCATTCGTTACTTTTAGAATAATCAAATCTTCACCTGATTCCTTGCTTATCGTTTTCTTCTTGTCTCCAAATATCTGAAACATCTGCTGTAATACCTGCTGCCAAACAATTATACCAATCAACAGATGGAAATGAGCACCCGATCAGTGACTATCGCATCTCACAATCAGGATCTATTAGGACTCGATCCGGGTTATGGTCAACTAGACATAAGCAACTGGAGGGAATCATATTCGCCTAGTAAAGCCGGCGACCTGGGTGTCAAACTGCGATGTGCAACAATACTCCGGCAGGGCCTCCTCTGTTGTGAAAAAGTTTGACGTTTTCGGTTTAGGCTGGATGCCTATCTAAGAGCGGCTAAGGCCAAGTCTCCCGCCAACTTGCACTAGACAAGAATCGCTGGTGGTCCTCACCCGCAAGTACGGATTCGGTGATCACCCTGTGGAAGGCTAGAGCACTGGTAAGCTCGACCTTGTCGCGAAAAACTCTTCTAGCCAGTCAGCGAGAAGAAGTGAAGAAAACCATGCACATCAAATCATTATGGCGCCGGTGGCAACAAGAACGATATTAGGCTCCTTTTGAATCGGAAAAAATGGCCGTTTGCCAGGACGACGCGCCATGGAAACTGCCTCAAGATACACCTACAAACCAGGACAGTCTCCGCAAACGCCAACCTCCACGCTATTCTCGACGCTGCAGAGCACATCATGTCATTGCTCTGCAGGGAACGAAGTCCAGGAAGAAGGATTGCAGACGACAGACGAGACCATCATCATTCTTGGTGGGAAGTTTCTAACATGAAACTTTGGAGGCGTTAGCTTTGTCGTCCACCCATCTATCTTCCATCTTGTCAATCTATGAGATCCTATCACCTCGACTATCCATCCTGCGACTAGGTCCTTCATGTAAGAAAACCATTATTGACTGCTACTCTCCAACCTCCATCAGCAGCTTTTTTCGAAGATGGCGACGGGGTCGTCAGCAACGTGAAGTCTTCCGACAAACAATTGTTGTAGACTACTCAATGCGAAAGTCGCGATGTCACTAGAACAGAAATATAGGGTCAAGTATTTTGATATGGCCGGTGCCAAAAACAATTTCATTGTGCTTCTCTCTTCCGTAAGGCTTTCCATACAAATTCCATCTTTAGCAGTGCACAAAGCCGTGCATGAGGAATGCTCAACGGACAGATTCGCGAAATCGACCGAAAGTGGAGCTTGTTCGACTCAGTAGTTCCATTCTTCTTCTTCAATCACCGCCTTCTTTGAGCGAAGGCACGATCCAGTCGAGAGTTGAAAAAACAAGGTCTGCCACAATGCCTTAAGAAGGGAAGAAGTTGCTTATGACAGTTATTGGCTGTGTAGACCCGTCGAGAAGGACCCAACGCGACTACAACCGACTTCTGAAAGGATTCTGAGCCTCATCACAATTTCTCATCACGACTTATGAGAAAAACTTGTAACGCATCTAGAAGACGCAGGATTCGAAGGCATAACAGCCTTGAGACAGTATCCAAGTGCAACTCATCCCAGCAACGATCAGCGAGCGCTAGTTGCACAGCTTCGCACGAGGACCTGCATAAGCACTGAAAGCGAAGAAGTGGAAGCAGTTGAGAGAAGACGAAGTTTCAAGAAGTGTTGAAGGGATCTCTTTGATTATCACGTACTGTTAGCAGCACTAGTGAACGAAGACAGACTCCGACTTTTTTCAACACAATTCGGAACAAAAACCTCCTTGATCTTGTATCGGTAGGCACGCAAAGTATACATTAAAATCCCTCCGCTCATCGAAGTTCGTGCCGACGCCCATTGTTTCCAATGGGGAATACCATCACGGACTCTGCCTAGCTACTGAAATGCGCAACGGGATTCAAACCACGACGTCCGCGTGTTCCAAGACAGACCAGTTCTGTAAAACTTCTGCAAGCCGGGAGTCATCGTCTAGGAGTTTCTTGCGTTGCATCTACTATCTTACTTTCAGAAAATTCAGAAAACAAGATTTCCATCAGTGGAAAATTCCAAGAGCCACTCCTTTCTTCAAGAAGGAAAAACGTGAAAAACTACACAACTCCGTGCAATAAGCTGCGCAGGTTTTTTACAAAGATTATACTCCTTAGCCACTCAGGGACGCTGGATGAAGCCCAGCCCAAGAACAAGATGATTTTTGTAAAGAATCTGGTTGCATGGAACAAATTCAAATAGTTTCGAAGGCCACAGAAATCTGCCGGTATCGAATTCCTCTTGCCTTAACATTCGTTATAAAAAAGCCTTTGACAACTTTCGAAACTAACCCCATTCTGTAAAATAGTCGATCAATAAGTGGATACGATTATATGAGGACAACGACCGACTGTTAGAAGGACTGTGAAACAACATTGCAGTTGTTCCATTGCCCCTTAATCATCCCTCTAGGGAAGGAAGCGGGTCCGACAGGACTACACAATCTCGAAGAAGTTCGAGCGAAAGCAGATCGACGGCCTTGCAGCAGGTGTTGAGGTCACGGACTCAGACAGAGATGCTAAGGACTTGATGGGGGGTTCCTTTCAAACTTTCGTTTTGCGAACGACATCTTTCTATTTTCGAGCAGTATCAAAAGCAGAGATGATGCTTGAATAACTAAACGAAAGATCAAGAAAAACGGATTGCGAATAAATTGGGAAAAGACTCAGTTTATGAAGAATGTTGTTTGCCAAGATCCGAAAACTGAAGGAACTCACCCTTTATCGTAAGACGTCTTCTTCCATCTTCTTCTTAACAGGAGAAGAAGAGCAGCCTGGCCGCCTTTGAACTCTCAAAAAGCACCCACCGCTGACAGACAGAGCTTCGAGCCTTCTCTTGAACTCAAAGGCACTGCCCAGGTCAACTGAGGGGTGGTGATATTTTTATGCTGTGCGGGAGCACGGCTCCTGACTAATGCAATAGTTCAAGTCCGAATGAAAAAAATGGATTCTAAAGCGAGAAAATCGTTCCGGAAGAAATAGACGATTCGATCCCGCCTCCTTGACAAGTTTTGACGTGGTTAATACCTTAGATCTACGCATTCGCCACGTCAAAATTTGTTGAAAGGCGGGATTAGCGGACCGCCCCTTTCTTCCGAAGCGATTTTCTCGCTTCAGAATCCACCGTTTTCGATCGGACTTGAACTGTTCCATTAGCCAGGAGCCGTGCTCCCGCACTGCGTCAAAACCCCACCATCCCCAATTGAGTTGGACAATGCCTTTAACCATCCTCCCGCGCTATGTTACGCATCTGAGACTTGGGGTCACTGTAGTCACATCGAAAGCTTTACGGACCACCCACAGAGCGCTTGAGCGCAGTCTTCTGAAGATGACACAACACAAACAACATCGTATCGGACTTCGCAGTACGAATATGGGGAAAATGTCAAGTCTTCGTGACCTCGCGAAGGCGAAACATCAATGGGCCGTCACTTCATGAGAAGAACAGATGACAGGCAGACATTGAAAACATTAGAGTCGATTTCTTGAGAAGCAAGAACGCCTCCAAAGGAGACCATCAACGAAATGGGCAGACGTGTTCGTGGAACGGATGGAGCAAATGAAAAGTTAGCTGGATACTACTTTTGCACATGAAACTCGTGCCAAGCCAACGACAACGAGTGAAAAGATCGTACATATTTGAAGCAAGCAACACGAACATATGGATACTTCCGCTCATCACCTAAATGTTTCTGACCAACCTTTCTCTTGCATCGTTGTGGAAAAGAATCCGGAACCTCGATCGCTTCACTCGATTTGCTGGCGGATTTGTAGCCTTTCTTCTTTTGTATTAATTTCAACATCTTCCTGGAAAGAAGATAGCCGAGCATCGATCCATTGGTTGTTCCTATGCTTCACGTTGACCCACACGTATCTGTGGCACCGATGTAGTCTGGGCTATTCGCGTTCAGAGTAGAGTGAAGAGTGATTTCTGGAGGGAGCGAGTAAGAATGAGGATTCATTCTAACCATCATTCCCTTATATAGCCTTGATGTTGATTTGCAAGCATTGCTGTCTACTTTCTAAAATACAGTCGAGTAGATTTAGCGATAAATATAGTGTGCTTGCACAGAAGGTGAAATGCGGTAAAATTGGCGCGTGAAGAAATAGTTTCGACTGTGACGTCGGCCAATTGCGCGCGCAAGATACCCGCGGTACTGACGTGGCTACTTGTTCACGCGCAAATTTCACCGCATTTCACCTTCTGTGCAGGCACACTATATTTACCGCTAAATCTACTCGACTGTACATATACTTCTGACCGGTCCAAATCAATCAAGGTTTATGAAGCAGATTCTAAAGTAATGCCAGTAAGAAACGAAGCGTAGATTTTGAAACCGCAGTCGAGATTTTGAACTCCACTGTCCGAGCGTGCACCACTGAATTGGAAAGAACATGAGCTATTATTTTCCTCCTACGGTAAGGCAAAATTCCTCCAACTCTTGCTCCCTACTGTCAGGTAATTTTTTCTTATGAGGGGAAAGTACTTTCAATGGCCACGGCCATCTGCTGTGATATGCATATAGGCTAATGCATTTTTGAACGCTGGTTTCAAATCTGCATTCTGTTCCTGCAGAACGCTCTTCCAAAGGGAGTTAAGGATGCCTGCATATTCAGTTTTTGGGTACTAATCAAGCGAGGGTATTACTATGATGGTGTGTATGGAGTGTAACGGTTTACAAACTAGGTCAGTGCTAGAAAGCCGGCCGGTGGGGGAGCGAACCCTTTTGCATATTGAGTTTGATTAGATAAGCACTTGAAACCAGCTGTAAACTTTTACAGCAACGTTCTTGGCATGTTTAACTCAAAAGAAGAGAATTTCCCGGGATTCGTTGGATAATAGCCTCTCCATTGGGTTTGAAGCTACAACCTCTCACTCTATAACCTTCAAACTATAACCACTGTCCCACGTAGCAACGTCCTCGAAGAAGCGCCCCAAAACGCGATTCTTTGGACCACATAATCCCTTACAGGAGAGCGTTCCCACAAAAGGATTATAGATTCAGAATCAGCGCTCGAAGATGCTTCAGCCGATATGCATCTCATATCAAACGGTCACGGCCATTGGAAATACTTCGCTAGTTAGTAAGGAATGGCGAACAATCATCATAGGAATCGAACACTCATATCGCAAATATGCTCTGTTCTCTCTTTGTTTCTTAATCGCTAAAGCACTTCTACACCATTATGTTGACCTCGCTGAGCAACATCTTCAAAATTCCCAGTTTTTACTAAATTTGTGTGTGTCAATTCAGCGATCACATTTTCTAAAAAACGTACAAAGTCTTCTCTACCAGAAATGTTACGAATTTATTCACAAATAAGTTACTGATTATAATTAACTATTTACAGGCCTATTAATCCATAATCCCAGATGCGTGGGAAAAGCGTTGCGTTCTTTTCACAAATAGAATTCACTTTCAAAGAGCATGGGAGAAAGAATGTGTAGTCGCTTCCGGCTTTGGCAACATTCAAATGAGCCGCACATCTTGCCGATGTTGACCATCCATTGGAAGAGGCGACAAATGGTTTGACTAGCCAGTTTCTGAAAAAAATTTCACCATTACATGGAGAAAATTCAAAAATTTGAAAAGCTCACATTTCAAGTGGATTCATTGCGTTACTAGTGAGCCATTTGGGATTGTGTTGATCATCTTCCATAGTAAGACCGATCCAGCTCCATGTGCTCACTGTCGAATGTTCATTTACGTATTCCTTAAAAACCATTTCATGAAAATTAATATTTTGTTGAAAAAAAAAATCACCTACCCATTCTTCCAGCGACTCCGGAACGAAGAGATTTGATCCCATCTCGTAACATCTTGCCAGAGCCTTTTCGTAATCCGAAGGTGGATTGTTGAAGAAGTAACAAGAGTCATGGTAAGTAGTCCAACCGATAGGGCAAATCTGAATTTTAGTAATTTCTCACTAGAAAAATTTGCTAAAATCATATCCAAAGAAACTCACTAGTGAAGAAGTGTTAATAGTGGAGGATAAAACGGTAGAAATAACACAGAAAACGAGACTAGATCTGAAAAGAAATCTCGCATAATGTAGTAATTGAGAATCTAACAACGAGCAGAAATGATACTTACTTGGAGAGCATAATGAAGAAATGTTCAATGCAACAACGGATCACGCTATTTATAGGAGAAATTATGGATTTCTGTGACTGATCTATCCCAGCGAACCTTATGTATCTTTTGTCAAAGGCATGCTTTAGAACTTGTCGATCTGAATTCATGCCTAGACAGAAAGTTAAGGCGAGTGAAAATGAAGAGAGGAAAGAAATACAACTAAAGAAAAAATTTAGGAAGATCGAATATCCAAACCTTCTTGTGTCTCGTGTAGGTCAACCTCCTAGCAATCATCATGGTCGCATGAAAACGCCGAGTTTTTGTGGCATCAATTTTTCCGGTTGTTCATATCGTATTCTTAAAGGCAGCGGACAGGCAAAATGGACCCCTGTCAGATTTTGGTAGTTTCGGGTAGTGGACCCCCCAAGTACACCGTAGCCCCAACCCCACATTCCAATTCATGCGCTAAGTCTTGAAAAAAGCGCTTCAAAACTCCACCAGCCCCGCCCACTTGCATTGAGTGGGCGTTATTGGTGGAAATTTGAAGCGCTTTTTTCAGGACTTAGCGCATCAATTGGAAGTTGGGGTTGGGGCTACGGTGTACTTGGGGGGTCCACTACCCGAAACTACCAAAATCTGACAGGGGTCCATTTTGCCTGTCCACTGCCTTTAAGAACAACTTCTTTACTCTTCAAAACGCATTTTCATCATATCACGTTTTTTCCATTCAAGGGCAAGCATTCGTTGCCTAAAAAAGATCACTGTCTCAAATCAGGTTCCTCTCAATTTTGACTTGCATCAACTCGAAAGTGAACTCAATTTTGAACTGGAACGTGTCAAGCAGATCTGTCTCACAGGTACAGTAAAGACAATATTAGTTACGCTACAGTAGTGCAATTTCATGTATCGCTAACAATATGACATCCCCATAGTTTTTGGTATCATTATACATGAGAACTTGACTAACACATAACCAGATTTCTTTTCTCGGTAGCGGGCAAGTAATTGAGAGTAAACCTGCACGCTTGAATCAATCGGAAGCAATGATATTGCCTAATTCTTCTAGCAAAATAATGGGAAAGAGCTGCAGGCATTTCAAGTAATTCCCTAAAATCTCACACGCGTTTACGAACATTCATTTTTTTATTTTGAAAAATTCTACACATTTAAATTCAAATTTTGTTTTTTTTCATCCACTCTATTCATCATCCTCTTGAAAGCCTGACAGTATACGACATCTAATGGTTTTATCTTTTCATGAATTATATCAACGTAGCTTTCAGCATAGAAATGCCAGTCGGTGGAACGCTGAGCTTCAGCGTATCGGAAGGTTTCATCACTCTCATGTCTTGTTTGCTCCAAAGATCCTTCATTTGGTAACCTGCTGTATTGTTCAATCCGACTCGAGAAAGAGCGAATTGAACGGTCTGCAAGAAAAATTTTTACTTCCACAAAAGGACTGTCGGTCAAAGTGAAATGAAAAAAGAGATCTTATGCACTCACATAGGCTTTATTGTCATGTCTGTTGAGTACAGCAATTGCAAACGAGGTCGCATTATTTTTGGTTGGCATGACTGGTTTCATATAGACACCATTGTCCTGGGACTGAAAGAAAACAAAAATAGTGCCATTGAACGTCATCACAATTTTTTTTACATTCAAGACTGATCGCCCCATGATAGCGAGTGGATCTTGATCTATAGCTATGACGTCACGATTTTGCAAAATTTCTTTGAACTGCGGCTCGATTGCTCGTAGATCATTTGACATTATCAATGGAGCAGACCAGATTGACCTGGAAAAGTTGACTTTACGTTAATTATACGGTGGCGAATCGAAAACGGGCGAGGCAGGGTGAAGAGGAAGGGGTTTTCTCACTTTCAAATGATTACAAAAGATTTTTTCTCAATAAGAAGATCAACTGAGCTTCTGTGCAAAAAAATTTTTTTTGGAATAGTGATGGTAGCTAGGCCCCTTTTTCATTTTTGAGGTTATATGCTAGTTTAATTTTGGATAGTCCCAAAGAATTTCTCGGAAAACGTAGCAGACGCTACCCCCCCCCCCCACACACACACACACAGAAGGAACCTCCTTTCACGTCCCTCCCCCTCTCCCGCTCTCGAATAGCCGCTGGTCAATAGTTAGAGGATTTACCATATCGACATCTGAACCTTAGCCTGGTCAACGGTCAGTCCCGGGTCGAGCCCAATAATAAGCTAAAAATATCCCTTTGTTTTATTTTCGAGCATTTGAATGTTATTCTCACCATGTCCGGGTCATGCCAACCTCCTGGTCCAGCAGCAGGAATGAGCTTGTCTTGCCATTTATCGTAAAAGTTTATTATGCTCAGAACTGAGTGCCAGGAATTGGAAATGTCATGAAAATTTCTCCAAAGATTGCATGATTGCCGGATCTCTGTGTAGTTTACCTGGAAATTCATGCATGGTGAACATTAAAAAGTAATGCTCCGTTTTACCTCCAGCTGAACGGGGTATAAATATGAAGGCCATTCGCAAGAGTACATTATAGGTCTTCCAGTAGCATTTAGAGCTCGCTCCATTTCGGGATAGCCTCGAATAGTTCATTAAATGGTTTCAGAATACTTATAGGTTGTGAAACGCGATTCGGGTAGTATTTTCTAGCGATATGTTTTATTTTTCGTTTTTCTGCATAACATTTGCTAGTCCATGGGGATAAGCGACTCTCTAAGCTTCCAAAATATTAGGTTGTCCCGAAAGTTTTGTCCAATTTTTTCATCGCTCACTAAAACTCGCAGAACACCAACGGATGACTTAGATTTCAGATTTTTATCCTCTTTCTTACACCTATCTTCCCTCATTGATCTACCCTGTCATTGCCATGTTGTCGCCATGGCTTTTTGAGCAGCTCAGCGGCAAAGCCAAATTTTTCCTGAATTTTAAAAATGTTTTATCCTGAGGTTTTCCAAGAGCACTGGTAACTGTTATGTAGGGCAAACCTTTGGCAACATAGTATCTATTTTAGATTACATGGATCAGCTTACCAAGTCCGTTATAATTATTTATTCAATAAAACCGCGGCTTTTTGATTACGTTTACCACGCAAAAGTACCGTAAATCCCGAAAAGCTGTTTTATCAAAGCAAATCAAGCTTGGTTATGTTGCATAAATAATGTTTAGTAAGGATCATGTTCCAAATCGCCGAAACTTCAAAAGTTTCCCTTGTTTGCTGCAGTTGCGTGTTTTATGACTTTGCCAAAAATAGAGACCTCCAAAGAAATAGTTTTTTGAAGCTAAAACCAGCAGATTAGTAGGATCTAAAAACTATTCTTTGTAGTCTGAGAATCGCTCTGAAACATACTTAACCCTTTCTGAAACTTTGGAGTGAAATTTTCAAAAATTAGCCTAACTTTGAGCAGATAAAATTGAGAGGTGCAGAATTTCAGCAATTATATAAAAAAACACAAGATTTTGGTTCGAAAATGTACCCATAAAAAAGAAAAGGAAAAGATGCATCGAATGCATGTTGAAAATCACTCAGATCTTTATTGTGCGTGGTTTTATAATCGTTTGAAAAAACGGACAAAACTTTGGGGACAACCTAATACAAGAGGAGTCAGGGCAAGCAGAGACTGGTCGCAGTCGCGTCTGACTGAGAACGTGTTTGGAAGTAAACGGCGACGGGTGATTGTACGTTCGTTCCAAAAGACGCAGACAGCGTTCGCAATGACGCCTTGTCTCTGCGTACGATGACTCGCTTTCTATGTTATTCATTTTGTAAATACACAAAATTTGATTTTTCATGGAATGTATGAACATTTCGAGTTGCTACTCCTCATGGTAATTTTACAGATTGCTTTCCGCAGAAATTACCACTCGGTTTAAGGCATGACTCATCCTTAAAGGCACCGTCCACCCAAAATTTCGAACTCCATGTTTTTGCCGTTTCAGGGCCTTCTCATACCCCTGATTCGGAATATCAAGTCGGTAGTCCGCGAAACCCTCGAAAAACCCCGTTTTCAGGACCCGCAGAGCGATTTCTTCGAAGCGGTGATTGGTTGGGCGCGCACGGATGGACGGGACAAACGTCACGCCCACTCGAAGGGGAGGAGTCAAGTGGCGAATCTGTCATTCGAGCGACTTTCGGAGCAATTTTCTCGCTTCGGAAGCCTTTTGCCAGCGCGAGTTGGATGAGTATACAGTTAAGGGCCCCACTTCTGTTAAGCATCAGAATCTCATCGACCCCATTTTGGGTGGACGGTGCCTTTAAACTGTCAAAATTTCCACCTCTTCCCAAAAACGTGGAAGAAACATTGTTCAAACGTTACCAATGCCTCCCTCTGTCGGCAACATATAACAGCCATCCAGCTTCAGATAATCACACTCCCACTCAGCGAAGGTATTCGCATCCATCTGCAAATGGACAAGATTCAAAAGTACTTGTAATAGGCCGCATTGAGCTGACAAAAGTGAACCTGAATATGCCCATAGCTTCCGGGGAAACCTGCACAAGTTTCCAACCCGTAGTCTTCGTAAATTCCAAGGTACAAATCTCTAGCGTGCATCTGAAACACAACTACTCCTCTAAGAGAGCCCTCCTCCTTTTCAGTAAAGGACAATAATTTGTTGTTCTCGCCGGATTATCTTGAAAAAAATCTTGAGGTACAAAATGTGGGGATTTCACGAAAACTTAAGAGCCAATCATCGTGACAAAAGCAGGTAAAGGAGGCGGTGACTATCTTTGCGATATACGTACATACTGAGCAAGTGCCTTCATTCCCGATGGGAATCTATCTGGATCAGCAACAAGACTTCCATTCGCATCTCGTTTACGAGCCATCCAACAATCGTCGATATGGATATGGTTATAACCAACATCTTTGTATCCGTCCAATACTAAATCACGTTTTCTTTTACTTATTTCACCGTGAACATCTCTATTTGTCAAATTCTTTCGCTGCGGCTCAAATTGCACTGGATAATATCAGTTTGTCCCATAACTTCCGTTTGTTTTCATTTTTTCAAGCCTTCAGCCAAATTAGCCTATCAAAAGTGAGTTTTCGAGAATTCAAATTTAGCATGAAAAACCAAAAAAGGCGTCATTTTCGTACTTTCGGCCTATTTCTGTTTCTCTTCTTTAGCACTGAAAAGATTCAGCAAATGCGCATAAAAATATTAGATGAAGAGTGTAAATGCATGAAAAGTTGGAGGTTTGAGATTTTTGAATTTTTATCGAATTTCCGGGTTTCTTGGACTTGTTATTTTCGAACTTAATGCGGAACTAACTCTGCGCAAAAGCTTAGACGCTACTCTATAGAGCTTGCTTTGCTCTTCGAAAATTGATCTATAGCTTTTTAGGAGCCAGGAAAAATGGGAATTGGGCTGAAAAGTGAAAATCAACGGAACTTCAGGGACAATCTAATATCTTGTCACGAACTGAGACGAGAGGGGGGAGGGGGAGTGGGTAAAAGGGAAACAATGCATTCCCAAAAGTTTACAACCGTGAACTACTAAGTCGTTCCTCTCTCAAGGTTTTTTCCTCTTTTTTTTGAAGCCGAGTAAGCACGTTTCTTACTATGCTGCTCACCCAATCTATCGGCCATCTTCTGATAAAGTTGTTCATTGATGCAAGCGTTTGGGTAAGCCGTACAGTTCATTTCGCATTTGAAGGCAGTCCATGACATCCAACCCATTGGTGGGGTTCTAAACATACGATTTGCATAAAACGATTTTCATCGATTTGCATGAAACCATATTAGAAAAATTTTGTGAAACCTTGCCAATCCGTTATCCAACGCCATAGCCAAGGCCCATAAACCACAAACAAAAACGAATTTGAGTGGGGCCATAAGTCGTCCTAAATCTGGAAGTTTTGGGTTATATGTCAGAGCAGTAAAGAACGATTACTTGAAAGCCAAACAAATTCTTGGTGAACGAAATAAGCTTATCACTGCTGCTATCACAGAAAAATGCGGCATCCTTCTTATAGAGCACGTGTATCGCAGTTCCAGCTTGTTTTTGATTTGCAAACATAGCTGCGTTCAGGGTTACAGAAAAAAGTGTAAGTTTTACATACCATTTGATAATTCTTGAGAATTAGCTTACACATAGAGTTCTAAATATGAAGTCTTTAAAAAAATTTTCCCACTAGGTGCGATAACGTTATGTATCAGGTTGACACAAAAGTTTTGTCGCACCATTTTCAAAAATTCATAGTTTTTTATTTTCCCAACCAATTTGCTTGATTTTTTTCGTTTTGAAAGGTTGACTATGCTCTTCATAGAAGTATTTTGAAGGCTTCCTAATGTACATACTTTGCATGGATAGAAACGTTAGAAGAAAATTACCCAACTTTTGATATTCCTGACTTTGGTCGTAAAAAATCTGAAACTCGCTTAAAAATCAAGCAGTCGGTATTATATTACCTGCTCTTTCTAACTAGGCAAAAAACATGCTTGTTGAACGTCTCAATGAAAAGTTTTAAATTTTGAGCATTTAGTGTTAGGTTGGTGCAAAAATAATGAGCATTTTCCCATTTTTCACTTTAACTTGCTATAACTTTCTACATAATCTACATTTTGAAATGTGATAAAGACCATCAGATGCAGCGAACCTTTCGCAGTACAGCGCACAGACCTATACTCATATCTCATATGGGCAGAAAAATATGGATTGAAAAACAAAAAAATTTTTTCTGAAGTCTTGTTTTTGACAAAACATAACTCCTTTCACACTTTGTTCTTATGATTTATAAGCAGCCTATCTTGTAGCCGCAAGCCAGTAGTACAAATAGACATGGAAACGGCTTGGAGAAAAAAGATTAGCGAAGAGGGAAAAATCGAAATTCAAAAACATCAACTTTTTTAGCATTTTTTCAATAGGCCTCAAAACCGAAGTAGAGAATTTTTCTAATTTTCTGCGTACTGAAAAGCTGGATGTTTTTGCAAAAACCGCTAATGGGACTCCTACCCTCACGCTTACAGAGATGAGCAAAGTTTGAGCGACTGCATTTTACAAAAAAAGTTATGGGCTCTAAAATAACCACAACCATTACCCATGTTAAGCCGCCGATATCTCACTTTAGATAACTTGAAAAAAATATGGTTGAATATGCATAATGTAGACAATTTCCATTGCATATAGCGGCTAAATTTTCGATAAACCACCTTCATTCGCGCTCAAATTCTGGCCAGAAAAATGAATGCAACGAAAATCCAATTTTGAGTGCGATTATGTGAAGCTCATAAATTCTTAACAGAGTGGGCTAGAAGATCCTTTCAAACATCGTCAGATAGAGCATAAAAAGAGCTTTCTAACAATGTGCTGCCGTTAAAAAGAAAGACGTTTGATGGAGAAAAGTTGTCCTGAAAAAAGTCCTAGGAAAACGCTCATTATTTTTGCACCAACCTAATACAAAACAGAGAACTTGATTTTTTTTGGGATTTTCCAAAAATTATAAATTTTTTAGAGAAATTCAATCAGCACAAATCTGGCTCGGTTCAAAGAAGCAGGAAATAAAATCCGCAATACCTCCTGCTTTAATTTTATTGCAATTTTTTAAGACAAAATAGATAAATCAAAATTTGAGAAAATATCTTTGACCGCTTCTATCTATGCGCAACATTTTCTTCAAAAAACGACTATAATACTTTTATGAAGAGCTTGATTATTCTTTCGAGCAAAAATCAAGCAAATCGGTTGAGATTCAAATTATGAATCTTTGGAAATGGTGCGACAGAAGTTTTGCGTCAACTCTTCATATTACGATTACGGTAAGAACCGTCTGAGTATTTTGCTCCACTGCAAATCTGCCGCAGAAAAAATTCTGAAAGACTAATTTTTAACATTCAATCGAATTCGCTTGCTGTAAGTGTTGACTGTCTATCTTTTAGAATGCCGGCTAGACTGCGGAAACTGTTTTTGCGATATCATTTTTGATGACTTCGTTTTTGCAGGGTTTTAATCTCAAAAAGTTGATTTTCTTATAGCACCGTGTAAGAAATCGCCTTCAATGTTTCTAAAGAATTTTTGTTGAAACTCTCGAAAGGACATTTGATTCAAAACGCTTCCTTGTTTATCTCCTGCCAAGCAAGACATGAAATAAGAAACTGAATTTCTCAACACCTCTACTTTAGTGAAAATCTGTACAGAAAACTTCACTGGTGTGTGATCCGAACGGTACTGAATTTTATTAAACTTGGAGTACTCGTAACATCTCAGGTATAGATCACTGTTCTTAAAATTCCATATTTAAAGAGCATCGGGCATCAAATATCTACCGGTATGAGAGAATAATACTATACAAAAAGAGGAGACACAAATAGACAGGATATGCTTGAAATTGGGCAGACAGCTCAGTCATTGTTATGAGGATCAAACAGAAAAATGAAAAAAAAAGAATAAAATGAGAGTGATGGAAAGTGATGTATTATTGCTATTTGAAATAAGTAGAAAACACCAAACCAATTAAATTCTAAGCTTCCATAGGCGTATGCTTCATGAAAGCTGTAGTCCAGTCAAACACCAACTCATGCTCTGGATCAATCGCAGCATAGTCGATATCAGTGCACTTCTAGAAAACAAAAAATCACTACTTATAAAGAAACAAGGATTCTTCTCCTTACCTGAGTGAACGACCCAACAATCCCGATCATATGCGCAGCCAAGGTATAATTCCTAGCCTTCAGGGCATTTTTGATTGAATCAAATGCGCGTCCTCCTTCAACAGGGCATGAGATCGCAAAGTAGAACCATTTTTCGAACTCGTCGCGCAGCTCTCCAGTGACATTTTCTAAAACAAGATACATTTTTGTTCTGCTTCTGCTCTGCCCAGAACTCTAGGAGACTCACCAATACTACCGAGAGACCAATCAACGGCTCGTGCCCATAACATGTTAAGATTTTTCGTTCGATGGAGCTTTTTCTCTTGTCTAAAACAGAGAAGCATGAAAAAAAAAGCACAAAAATAAAGTTTTATTAGGATAACATGAAAAAACAAACTGAAACTTTCGGTTGACTAAATTTTGATGAACTCAGTTCACTGATGTTATTCATGTTCATGTTGCCATTTTTGCTGTTTACCCGGTAATTTTCAAGTTCACTGAATTGAAAATTTTCATACAGTTTTCACGAAACACATGTTCTTGGACACAGTCAATAATCCTGTTATTTGCTACTCGTTATCGTTTCCTTCTAGTTTGATTTTTGCAAAAACTTGTGCGCACAAACATATTTTTGATGTTGACAGCATTATCTGACCAAAATTCCATTCCTGGATTTTATTTTTCCTACACCATATCCTGTGGTCAAAAATTGCGTCAAAGCTTGTAAATTCTTATATATAAAGCTGAATGTCTGTTTGTCTGTCTGTCTGTCCGTATGTCTGTACGTATGTTCCGAATAAAAAATTCCATTTCTGAACCGATCCGGACCAAACTTGGCACACATACACTTCGGGCCCCGGCGGGTGTCATAGGCTACTTTTCGTCATCGATCGATATCGATTTTATCGATTTTTTGCAAAATTTGAGCTACGGGGCTGGGAGTTGGTACAGGGGGGTAATCGAGCATGCTGATTACGAATAAGATAATGACAGGGCCGGGCGGAGCCGGGTAAGCCATCTAGTAATATAACATCCATTTTTACAATTGAGAAATGCTGAAGGGATCACATTAACCAATCACCGAACATTCGTGGTAGGAGAGTCTCGAAGAGAGAGCGGGGAGGAAAATACAACTGAGAATTTCTTTATCGAGGAGAAGTGCAACAAAAGGATCAAAAAGGCTTCAAAAAAGAGCAAGCACTAATTTTCTGGCCTATTCGTGGAAATCTAAAAACTCAGGCGAAGTAACAGTTCAGATTATACACTAGTATTATTTAAAAATCTCAAAAAATTCTCGAGCGCCCACTCCACGTCCTGCTATGTGTAACCACAAAAAGCCCGGAAGAGCAATGTCTCCTCAGTTCTACAGCAGTTTCATGAAGCACATACCGACAGAACATCAGCAACGTCACGAACATCTCCCGTTTCTGCGCTGCTTGTAATCTGTTCAACACGGCCTCCACAACTGATCTGTCAGCGATCTCATTATCCACAATGAGAGATGCCACAAGGAAAGCAAGCTAAATGTGGTGAGTAATAAGAAGCCAAACTATGGCCTGTACAAAAAATTGCGAATTCTTCTTACTTGAGGGGTCCACCGCGTACCAGGGGCTACAAGACTACGCACAACATTTGATTTGTCCTGTCTGCGGAAGGTGTCCAAAGGAATATCCACATGTGCCAGATCGAGCAATCTGCCATAGAGCACAGCATCCAGGTCCACACTAAAATTTTCATATCATCTCGCTTATTTTGGTTTTCGAATATGTATAGGGGCGAACCATTCTCTTCAATCGTGTATTTTCGTATAGTTGTGGGCATGATAACTTACCAGATCTTCAGATGATCATAGTTAGCCTTCTTTAGCTGCGCATCTGTATATGCGCGTAACAAGACGCATGCAGCACGAACTATGGTTCTGAAGCCTCCGGCTACTGTAGAGGCATCCTACAAGCACAATGTTTATAAAGGAACGCCGGATGCCTACAAAGCGCTGTAAACTAACCCTACGCAGGTAAGTGATCAAATCTCCCATTATCTTGTCCATATTGATGAGTTTCAGAATATATACAATTCTGGAATATAAGAATGAGATGCAACAGTATCCTAGTAATTAGGTCTAACCTGTCAACTGTGACATCGAAAAATGGCAACAAAAACAATTCATTCTCGTCTGAGCCACTGATGGCGACATCCGCAGCCATATTTCCCATAGTCTTGAACTTTAGCCGTCAACAAATATCTCATTTTTTAGCATAGAAACCTACATCATTCGGATCCACCGCATAAGCGTCATCAACCTTGTCCGCTATTAACCAACTCATTGCCAATTCTTCTTGTATCTGCTGAAGGTTTCTGAGATGATTTGCCTTTGCAAGTTGTTCGGCAACGACCATTTTCTTTTCTAAATGTGTCAAAAACTTGATTACACAGTAAAAAATACAAGTGAGCAATTACCGCGATCTTTTGCAGACTTCCAATCTATGCAATTGGTGTAGATGTAACCAATCAAGTCAGGAGGAGTTTCGATAAGATCACATGTCTTTTCGTTGTAAAGACCAGACTAAATAAAGATGAGTGGAATACAAATTTCAGATCTGTCAGAATTGAGAATCCTCACCTTCTTCAAGATCAGCTCCGTATCGTACTTTTCTATAGCCATGCTCAGCCGTGAAACTTGCTCCTCAATGGCAACACGTTCAGCTGCGTCCATAGCCTTTAATTACGGTGAAGTGAGATGGATTTTGATAAATTTTTGGTGAAATAAAATAGATACCGGTTCAATGTCAGGCATGGTAAGCCAGCTTTGCGCAACATCCCTGCCCATTTCCAACAGTCGTATTTTTGTCTCACCTGAAAAATAGGCCACTTAGATTTTTCATTTGATTTTCAAATTTCTTGTTCTCGTGCAAACTCAGTCTTAGACTGTGACTCACTCTTTATAAGTGTTGAATTCTCTTTCGGGTAGTGTGGAACGTTGCCTTATTTAATAAGCCGGTTAAGGCAGTGAGGCAATTGCTCACAGTTTCAACGAGTGTAAGTTAAAGGCAGTAGGTCGGCAGAATGGGACCCGTGGCAAAACAAGGTCACAGGGTAGGAGCCCCATAATGGAACCTATGGGCCAAATTCGGTCTTTCTCTGCCACTTCTAACCCCCGAATTTTCAAAGCGAAAGCAGCGCTCATCTCTTGTCCTCTCCGAACCCGCCCACCCCATGGACGAGTGAACGCGGAGCCCGTCATGGCGAAGACGCAGAGTCGTCGCGGGACCTCATGCTTATAGCATTGCGGCTGGCGCTCTGACCGCGGAAGTCACTCGTCCATGGGGTGGGCGGGTTCGGAGAGGACAGGAGATGAGCGCTGCTTTCGCTTTGGAATTTCGGTGGTTAGAAATGGCAGAGAAAGATCGAACTTTGGCTCATAGGTTCCATTATGGGGCTCCTACCCTGTGACCTTGTTTTGCCACGGGTCTCATTCTGCCGACCTACTGCCTTTAAGCGTAACATAATAACTCCAACCGTCACTCTCCAGCTAAGAAGATAATACTCAACTCTCAAGAGTGAACAACAGTCAAAGACATCGCACAACAAGGTTTGCAGATGGCAAAAATCAAATTGTACAATTAATTTTTTCGACGAGAATCAGTCACCCGAAAAATCAGTGAGATCTATTTTTTGAATCTTTCAAAGTGATCATCACTACGTAATATATAACGAATTCGTGCTGACTCATCATTCCGCCTGATTATTGGTTCATGGCAAATGAGGAGGGCGCAGACGTAAAATTATGATGAAATACGCTGATCTTTGGATTTGGATTGCTGCCGTGGCATGCGTTTTGGAACGATGCCAAATTTCATAACGAGTGACCAAGCATATTTTCGTAAAAGGGTCACACGTATTTCGAAAGGCAATCATGAGTGTCGCAGTGATTTTGAGACTGTGTCGCCAGTGTCCGGGTGTGTTATTTGTACCAGCTTTTTAAAATCGAACTTTTTATCCCAGAATGTGTCTTTCAAACATGTTCTACTCCTATTAGTTGCTTTTGAAATAATGCCAAATTGCGTGAAAGCGTGACTTGAGCTAAATTCATCCATATTCTCAAATCTTCGTAAAAATGCTCTAACAACAGTCACTTTAGGATTATCTTGCTTCCGCTGTAGACAAGAGAGGCGTGAGTAACTTAGTCTCGCTTTTACTTTTAGAAGCGTTTATCTAACAATAGCCTTGCTTTTGCTTGTGTAACTGGGTCCCGCTGGTGCTTTCAACTGGGTATCGGTGTGTAAGCGGCACGTAGGGCATAAACTTTCTTTTTGACTATCGGTGTGTAAGCGGAATTTTTTCTTCAGATTCTCTTATGTTTGGGGCAGTTCTTGTAACTTTCTTTTTGACTATCGGTGTGTAAGCGGAATTTTTTTTTCAGATTTTCGCATGTTTGGGGCAGTTCTTGTAATTCTTAAACGGTCTTCAAGCGGCACATAGGGCAAAAACTTTCTTTCTGAATAATTACTCTCGGTCTGTAAGCGGCACGTAGGGCAACCCGATCGGGCAGGGAAACAGATTTTTTATGTTATGGCAGCTTGTAATTTCTTACCGGTCTTCAAACGGCACGTAGGGAATAAACTTTCTTTTAAATAGTTACCATCGTTCTGTAAGCGGCACATAGGGCAACCCGATCGGGCAGGGAAACAAATTTTTGTATGTTATAGCAGTTCTTGTAATTTTTTAACGGTCTTCAAGCGGCACGTAGGGCATGAACTTTCTTTCTGAATAATTACTCTCGGTCTGTAAGCGGCACGTAGGGCAACCCGATCGGGCAGGGAAACAGATTTTTGTATGTTATAGCAGTTCTTGTAATTTTTTAACGGTCTTCAAGCGGCACCTAGGGCATGAACTTTCTTTTTGAATAATTGCTATCGGTCTGTAGGCGGCACGTAGGGCAACCCAATCGGGAAGAGAAACAGATTTTTTATGTTATGGCAGTTCTTGTAATTTCTTACCGGTCTTCAAGCGGCACGTAGGGCATGAACTTTCTTTCTGAATAATTACTCTCGGTCTGTAAGCGGCACGTAGGGCAACCCGATCGGGCAGGGAAACAGATTTTTTATGTTATAGCAGTTCTTGTAATTTTTTAACGGTCTTCTAGCGGCACGTAGGGCAAAAACTTTCTTTCTGAATAATTACTCTCGGTCTGTAAGTGGCACATAGGGCAACCCGATCGGGCAGGAAAACAAATTTTTGTATGTTATAGCAGTTCTTGTAATTTTTTAACGGTCTTCAAGCGGCACGTAGGGCATGAACTTTCTTTCTGAATAATTACTCTCGGTCTGTAAGCGGCACGTAGGGCAACCCGATCGGGCAGGGAAACAGATTTTTTATGTTATAGCAGTTCTTGTAATTTTTTAACGGTCTTCTAGCGGCACGTAGGGCAAAAACTTTCTTTCTGGATAATTACACTCGGTCTGTAAGCGGCACATAGGGCAACCCGATCGGGCAGGAAAACAAATTTTTGTATTTATAGCAGTTCTTGTAATTTTTTAACGGTCTTCAAGCGGCACGTAGGGCATGAACTTTCTTTCTGAATAATTACTCTCGGTCTGTAGGCGGCACGTAAGGCAACCCAATCGGGAAGAGAAACAGATTTTTTATGTTATGGCAGTTCTTGTAATTTCTTACCGGTCTTCAAGCGGCACGTAGGGCATGAACTTTCTTTCTGAATAATTACTCTCGGTCTGTAAGCGGCACGTAGGGCATGAACTTTCTTTTTGAATAGTTGCTATCGGTCTGTAAGCGGCACGTAGGGCAACCCAATCGGGCAGGGAAACCGATTTTTGTATGTTATAGCAGTTCTTGTATTTTTTTACCGGTCTTCAAGCGGCACGTAGGGCATGAACTTTCTTCCAGATAGATAATTGGTTTGTAAACGGCACGTAGGGCAATTTGATCGGAAAGGGAAAGAAGCTTTTACACGTTTGTGCAGTTCTTATGATTGACGGTCTCTGGGTGGCTCCCTTTCGTAGTAATAAAGCTTCATATTCCTTTGGCGAAAAAATTGAAAGATTCTTTGACAAAGTTCTTAGACTACTGATTTCGTTGCTGTCGGAACTGATTCTGAGAGAAAAGTGTTTTTTGTAATACACATAATTTTTATGGTGTATTTCTACTTTCAAAACATATGTTCTGCTACTTACTTGACGATCTTTTATGGAACTTGCTGAGAAGAACTGAAAGAGCAAATTCTCTTTGAAAGGGTAGAAAAGTGGGAGGGGGGTATCTGAATGTTTCTGAGAGGAGGGAAATTTGCATAAAAAGCGTGTAAACGAGATAAAAATCATTCGAGAAATGCTGAATGATTTGTGGAAATTATCGCTTCTTCGAGCAATTCTCCTTTTGTAGAATGCTCTTCGCAAAAATGTTCTCAGGAAAGGAACAGGAAACTTATTTAGAAATATTTTTAGTCAAACCTAAGCCCTTATATGTATCTGCCCCGACCCACTTGCTAGCGACCCGTAGGGTCGCTAGTCTTATATATAAAGCTGAATGTCTGTTTGTCTGTCTGTCTGTCTGTATGTCTGTATGTATGTCTGTACGTATGTTCCGAATAGAAAATTCCATTTCTGAACCGATCCGGACCAAACTTGGCACACATACACTACGGGCCCCGGCGGGTGTCATAGGCTACTTTTCGTCATCGATCAATATCGATTTTATCGATTTTTATCGATTTTTTTGCTGAGTTCACCTACGGGGCTGGGAGTTGGCACAGGGGGGTAATCGAGCATGGGGATTCCGAATACAATATTGGTTTTCAGGATTATCGATTACTTTTATCGATTTTTTGCAAAGTTTGAGCTAGGGGGCTGGGAGTTGGCACAGGGGGGTAATCGAGCATGCTGATCACCCCAAGGGGGATGATCAGCATGCTCGATTACACCCCTGTGCCAAATTCCAGCCCCCTAGCTCAAATTTTCAAAAAATCGATAAAATCGATAAAAGTAATGGACGATCTTGAAAACTAATATTGTATTCGTAATCTGCATGCTCGATTACCCCCTTGTGCCAACTCCCAGCCCCGTAGCTCAAACTTTGCAACAAAATCGATAAAATCGATAAAAGTAATGGGCGATCCTGAAAACTAATATTGTGTTCGTAATCAGCATGCTCGATTACCCCCTGTGCAAAATCCCAGCCTCGCATGTCAAAATTTACAAAAAATCGATAAAATCAATAAAAGTAATCGATAATTCTGAAAACTAATATTGTATTCGGAATCCCCATGCTCACTTCCCCCCTGTGCCAACTCCTAGCCCTGTAGGTGAACTCTGCAAAAAAATCGATAAAAATCGGTAAAATCGACATCGATCGATAACGAAAAGTGGACTGTGACACCCGCCGGGGCCCGAAGTGTATGTGCGCCAAGTTTGGTCCGGATACGGCGGAGCCGGGTAAGCCAGCTAGTTAATCATAAAAAGCAGTGATTCGTATGGAAGAACACACACTCACATAATGGCAATTTTTTGAAGCACATTGCTACGCAGGAAACTACTGCATTACGAGATGGTGACTGCATAAGAAGTTGCTGTATAGTGCTTTGTTCCGTGGGAGAAAGCTCTTGACCCTGAACGGAAATTTTCCTAGGTATACCCAGGCAGGCAGTCTCTAAGGAAAAAATTTACCTTTGCAATTACTTCGGCGCTGATTCTTCCCACCGCAACCGAAAGTAAATGTGATCGCGAAAAGTTTGGCGATGTTCTCAACCAAGCTACGGTTCGCAAAACAGCTTGCCAGTTCTAGAAATATTTGCGTAAAATCGATCACCAGGGCTGAACAGCAAAACTCACAAGAACATTGTAGATATCCAGCTCCTTTTCTATCACTGGGACTAGGAACTTTTCAACATCAGCAGCAGCCAGGTAGAGGAACGGATGGAATGGCAGGCGTCTTTCAGCCTTCAACAAACAAAAATAACATTGGAGGGTGTTCAAAATCGTTTTCCAACCTCAGCTGGCATAGCCATGACAAGTGTGTCACGCTCGTACAAATTTCTTTCCTGGTTTTCCTCAGTAAATGACGAAGCAGTGTTGTTGGCTGATTCAGGACGAGTTCCTTGTTCAAAGTAGCATCTACAGTATGCACCAAAGTTCTCTATCGTTGAGTCCTGAGGCAGCAGAAATGTAGTGACTTTATAGAGTTCTTTGCAAGCTCCGCCTACCTTTCTGTCATTGACCATCTGCTTCTCGCGATTTGTATACCATACAAGCTCCGTTTTGCTGATAGGATTTTGCCGTTTTGTTTCCATAATGAAATCGAGTATCTCAAAGAGATATTCTGTAACGACATCGAAAGGTAATTTTTAATCGCTTCCTACCGAATTACATCCATTGACAAATACAAGGTTTTCATCTTCCTTTGCAACCGATGCTAAGTGGTTGATGATAAAGGATAGAACCTAAAATAAGAGATGAAGAACCTAGTAAAATAAGCAGTTATAAGAGTTTACCTTGTAATTGTACGGGCAAACTGTGTAAAGAATGTTTCGGAAAGCTTCGAATGACTTCTCTGGAGGAATTGAAATTTCGTTCACCTGCAGAGCAAAAGTTGAGGCGATGAATGAAAAAATGGACGCCAAGAAAAAATGGACGGAATACGGTACTCATGATCTTCCATGAAAAAAGTATGGATTTTCCAATAACCATCAAGACAAGTGATGGAAAAGATAGGGTCCTCGTTAATGCTGTCTAACATTGTACAGTTCATGCGACCATAAGAGTATGGTAACACTGCTCACCTTCATTGCTTGATGTGCAACTTCCAAAAAGGCATTGATTTCGTGCTGCTCTCGGCTTGCTGACGCTAACTGCACTAGTTCGATAGCATAATTGAGAAGCTGATCTTGCAGCTGATGTTCACCACAGAAAACATCCACATATCTGAGAAATATATGATCCTATCATAAAAAAGAGGAAACAAAGTGCAGAAACGAACTCGACTACAACATTTGGATCCAGCTTGTGTTTAGCAAAATCGCCAATAGCAATATCGATAGATTTTCTTGGTAAAGCAGGGGAAAGACCAGCCTTGCCTAACCTCTTTGCCCAAAGCGTTTTGATGAAAGTATCCTGAATTACGATGTCAATTACTAAGATGGTCCAACCGAGAAAATGATTCGCGAACCGTTAGCATCTTTGCATGTGCATTGTTTCCGGTGAGAATCGATGCATACTGGACTGTACGCAAGAAATTAATCATGGTCTGCGGAGACTTCCTGTTGGTCAGCACTTGTCGTAACTCCAGCACCACCTAGATTTTTGAGGCTTTCAAAAGAATTTCCATAAAAGGAAAATGAGACCGACCTCCTCAATAGTTTGTGAGGAGAGGGATGAAAGAAGTGTGCAAGGTGTCCAAAGATCACAGGGATGAAGTTGTAGAGCTCGAAGACAGACATTTCTTACTGAAGTTCTCAACCCACAGTCACGACCGAGTTCGTCGATGTGTCCATCCGTGAAGCAAGCTAAAAAACGAATGCTATCCACTTTCCTTGTGGCTGCCCCAGAAATCAGCGGATAACTTAGCATCCGAAAAAGACCTTTGAAGTTGAAGCGATAATTTGACAGAAATACTTACGCAAAGTTGAAGCATAAATTCTAGCTTGAAATTCGAGCAGATCCTGGTTAGAAAGCGACAAAAAGTTAAACAAATCGTTCCATTTTGTTGCCTGTTCTGCATACAGTCTTGTCCTAGTTTCTCCACTAAAAGACAATTACCTGTACTAGAAATCAGTCAAAAAGTCAACATACTCAAGTTTTTCCGTGCGCACAACGCTCTGGGCAACAGCTGCAATGCCAGTCATCGCCTCCAGACGTGAAAACAACGGACCTTCATTTCGCATTTGGTAGACACCTACGCGACGACGCACCCCGTAGATGCGACTGTATAAGTTTTTTCTTCAGATTTCATATTTACGGAATTTTTAAACCGCACTTTTCAGCGTTGGTGACTTCATCGCTTTTGGAGGATTCTTTAGTGCTAGTAGTGTCGCTGGTAGTATCATCTAGCATGCACTGATTGACCAATTGCATAAAGATGCCAACATAACCATACATCTAGAAAATCTTGATAGATAGATTGCAAAGATGATTGACCTCGAACATACTCTCGTGACAGACTCCTGGAGAGCCAAAGAATGAACAGTGACCGGTTCAAGTATGCGAAGAACTCGCGAAAGAATTACCACCGAGTCAACAGCCTGAAAACTGCGTTTGCAAAAAATGATCCAGCAACAACGGTCAGAAATTCACCTGATCCACAATCTCTGCTTCTTGTACCGGTTCTGAACCACCCGCAAGAGCTTCCTGCAAGCGCCACAGGACAAACTCACAGCCATGAACACAAGCTTCAGCGAGTTCAGGTGAAGCATTCGGGACACTTCGAAGAGCATCCCTAAAAGATATCCTGTGCTAGACTGTCGCTCACAATTTTATTTCAACTCTTTATAAAATCCGAAGAACTAACCACCCACAGAATTCTTGTCCATAAACTATCTCATGATAACGATAATTACCGAGAACTGTCAAGCCAAAAGCTCAGAAAAGGGGAAGGTCAGATTGTTTGCCATCCACAATTTTGTTTAATTCATACGCATGCTACGGCAGAGACACGGTAGCTGAGTCAGATTGCTCAGAGATGGTCGAATCTTTAGCTAGACGTTTCTTAAGCATTCAAACAATTTTAACTCATCTCTCTGATACATAGACTGAGTCTTGTACACAGAGGTGGTAATCATATAGGAGGGTACTGTGCGCCGGTTCAATTGTCCAGTATTTTTGTCGACCAACCTGATGATTGTCAGCGTCCCCAGTGGATTACCAGAGTCAATGGCAAGTTTGATAGACAATCTGCTAGCCTCATCACGTGTCATGCGAAGCAGCCTCGAAAATGCGATGACCTAAACAATTCTTTCTTCTATTCATTCAGAAGATTAGAAAACTAGTTACATGGATATAATATATATATGTAATAAAAAATAGTAGTAAATAGGCGACAAAATAATCAAGAAAATTGAGTAAAGTAAAGTAGGTAAATGAAGTATTTAAATAAATACAGTAGCAAACCTCAAGCAACGTTCGCTCCTCACGGACGATATAATCTTTCAGTGAAGCATTCCTCCATTCTTTATTTTCGAGCTGAGGAGTAATGACATACATGTTATACTTCTCCTATAAAGAACCAGAATCAACATACTCCTTTGATAGCTATTGATGTATTATATCTCACCTGTAGTTTCTGAATAGAGCACAGAGTTTCATATATCTCCATGTTATGTTCGTCTTTACCCATGAATCTCAGTATCACGCTCTTTGTAGCCGTTAGAAGCCCACTTCGTCTAGTTAGCGATGCCTAAGAAAGTAGCAGTCAGATTAGGCCTCAAAATGTCTCCAAACTACCTCCGTCCACACTTCAACAGAACTGTCAATCTGACGTTTCCAATGGTCAATCAACTGCGAAGCCACATTGACAAGAAATTGTTCACCTTTCTCTGCCCGGACATCTTCCAGAAATTGTAGAACAGTGGAATTCTTGAATCCATATGTTTACGAGATGTACATGACATGGAGAAAGACTACCGTTTCGGTCTTTTGAAGGTGTTCAGCGTAAAGTACGTACACACGAGGAAGCAAAATTTGCGGAGAATGCTTCTCGTGTAGCTGACAATAGGTGTTCACTACCTACAACACGGTTGTAAGGGATACTGTATGCCCGGGTTTAGAGTCGTCACCTTGACCGCATCCGCGAATCTTTGAGAAATTTCGTATCTATCATGAGTGAACATAAATCGCACAAATTTCATAAAATTGTATTCAGACGCTAGGACTGCATCTAGCATTCCTAAGGGGGTTGAGTATGACATTAGCATTTGACCCATCTCCGCGTTGCGACAGATGAACTCCAAAGATTTCTTGCTGGAAACGAGTAAATCGGAAGAGATAAAGCAGCAGCAGTTTGAAAGAAATTCCAAAACGAACTCACATGTCGTTGTCAACGGCAGGATTCTTCAACACTGTTTGAACGGTCTCAGATAATCGTCTACTCCATGGCAAGTGAGCTCCCTTTGCTATCATGCAAACAGCTTTGCACCTGAAATGGCAATAATCCAGAATGGATGAGAAAGAATCTGATTCACCTTATTGAGAGACTTTCGATGGTTTCACTGACCAACAGACATTGGTCGTGCCAAGCGCTGGACCGCCCGACAAGGTTTTTAGAGCGAGAAGACTCTGCCTAAAATCACAAAAATGGTCAACTGCTTGGACAAAAATTCATAAGAAATTCTGTGCCGGCTTCTATTCATCGAATGCTACTATGTTTACACACCTCAACATAGCGGAAGAGCGTTTCGTCAGGCTCGAGGTTATGCTCAGCCATATACTGCCTTGCATATCTTTCAACATTCTTCTTCATGAAATTTGGATTTTGAACAGACTGTTGAAGAATTTGGTGGCAAATTTGTTCGCAAGTAAGTCCCTGAAACAAGATGTTTTACTTTCGATGTTGTATGAAAACCTGCTTACCACAAACGTGTTGTAACTGAGAGAGCAATCATACACCGTCTTCAATCTATGAATCTCCTTGAGATTCGCTGAATATATATCAAGCTCAGCTAATCTGGAAACATTATCGCGAGCATCAGAACGAAGCTGGCAACCAACATAGGCTAGTTCAGCCTGGAACATATAAGTGCAATTATGTCAAAGATTTTCATTGCGTTAGTGATTGCTACCTGACGAGTACCGGTAATGGTCTCTTCATCTTGCTTCAACAAAATTCGCTCAAATGTCGATGTTGCGTGAAGAGCATTTAGCGGGAATTTTTCTGCGTCCAATGTCTCCAGATCATGGGCAAGAGTAAGCAGAAAATCAACAAGCAATATGCATATCTTAATAAATTGAGGTCATTGAAGTTACGGTAGAGATTTTAGAAATCTTCTGGTCTTCCCTTACTATGGCAAGATGACAAGATTCACCTCTTTAGACATCTTCGACAAACACACAGGAACAAAATCGAACTCTAGGAAGGCTATGACGTCTCGCCATATATTCAACTTCTCTTCAAAGAAAGAAATCAGAGTAACTGAATTACTTGTCATGTGATTACCCACTAAGTACAACAGCTCGCAAGATTTCGAAGAAATTTTCCAAGTTTCCTTCGGCTAGCTCTTCATTATCTACACCATTGAAACATGTAGCAATGTGATTGAAGTGTCGATTCCACAAGATTCTAGCTTCCTAAGGAGATTAAAAATTACAACAAAAAAGAAAACGAAAAATAGTGTGAGAGTTAGAGTACGTGACTGGATATGATTTACGGACACCCTCACCTTCACCAGCCCATTTCTGAGCATTTCGAAAAACAGCTCGCACCACTCTCCTTCTCCTTCTACCCCAGCTATAAAGCTCTGCCAAGCGGAATCTCCATCAAAACGAGCATTTTCAGGTCCCAGTGTGAGACGGTAAGTGGATAAGATGTAGGAAGCCCTGGCCAAACGATCGATAGTTTCAGCATCTGGAAGAGACTTTTGAACTTATTTGACACTAGCTGGCTTACCCGGCTCCGCCGTATGTTCCGAATAGAAAATTCCATTTCTTAACCGATCCGGACCAAACTTGGCACACATACCCTTCGGGCCCCGACGGGTGTCACAGTCCACTTTTCGTTATCGATCGATGTCGATTTTATCGATTTTTTGCAAAATTTGAGCTTCGGAGCTGGGAGTTGGCAGAGGGGTGTAATCGAGCATGCTGATTACGAATACAATATTAGTTTTCGAAACCGTGCATTACTTCTATCGATTTTTTGCAAAATTTGAGCTAGGGGGCTGGAATTTGGCAGAGGGGTGTAATCGAGCATGCTGATCACCCCCCCCCCCCAAAGTGTATGTGTGCCAAGTTTGGTCCGGATCGGTTCAGAAATGGAATTTTCTATTCGGAACATACGTACACACAGACAGACATACAGACAGACAGACAGACATACATACAAACAGACATTCAGTTTTATATATAAGATGATAATGACCTAACCTACCAGTGACTGCTCTCTTCTTTGCGCAAGCTAGAAGACTGATAATTCTGTCATATTTGTCGAAGGTTGTAGCACCAGAGAAGCAGATCTCGCCAACCTCAAGAGCATCATATTTGTCACGATATTCATAACAGCGATATTTGGCGGTGACTGGCAGGAGTAAAATTACACTGGAAAAGGAATGCGCGCTTACCATATTGTGGTCTTTGACGGCTTCGAAAGACTTCATCAGCTTTTCAAAGTTCTCGTCCGAGCCATTGATGATAGCTTGTGAGAATAAGAAGTTCATCTTTGCCACGTGGACCCTCTTAATCATTTTTTTCATCTTCAAATGACTAAGGTACCAATAAAACGGTGAGTTTTCCTTATGAAAACGTAGTGTGAGATGTAAACCTCACTTTTCAAGCCCGACAGGGTTACTTTAGCGGAGCGGATACTATTAGCCGCTACAGTGACTATACCTGTACGTCCAGATTGAACTGCTTGGCAAACTCTTCCGCTTGGTCCAGCTGATTTCGACTTAACAATCTTTGGAACTTCATTTCCGGTTGAGATTCGACAATTTCTCGCACTTTTACTGTGTCTCCTTCGGTTCTTAAAGTAATTCGAATAAAAAAAAGGTGGATGGAACAAATTTTCACATGATCGAACTCACAGAACTTTAGTCCCAAAAGGCTCTACAAGCAAAATCACACGATCGGCAGTCTTCGATACTGGCAAAAGTGAAGTCCCTTCGGTTACGGCAACACGATATGCGACTTCAAGAGACTTCATGGAACGAACTTGCATCTATAGTAGAGGATTGAATAGTAACCAGTATACACAAATGGAATGATACCTCTACATGATCGCCGCATTGCACAACTGTAGCGATTGTACCAATTTTTGGATTCATTCCAGGCTTATCAACGAACATAAAATCGAAGAAACGTTCATTCTGAATATACGTACAATCAAGAAATATAGAAAGGAATCCATCGCTTATTCAACGCTGTAAAATGGAAAATGCACTAACCGAGTTTGTCCTGATGCTTTTTCTACAGAGGGTAGTGAATGTCCACAAATCGGTCAGAACGATAGTCCCATCAACGGTCAGCCCCACAAGAAAGCGTCCGTTGCTGCAGCTACGTACTCTTACATAAGAATCAGCTTAAATGATTGGGTTAAAAAGCTCGCTCGGCCGAGATGAGATCAACTGACCTGTCTCGGCGTCTCCCAAAGATTCGAATTCAAGGGACTTCTTTGCCATCGATAATTGGAGGGGAACCTTCTCTTGAGAGACCTGTACGCACACTATTTGATCTAGGAGTGTTTATATGGTAAAGCGCTTACCAGAATCACAGAACTTGCTACGCTAACGATGTTCTTTGGCATGTACTTGCTCTTTAGGACCGTAGTCTCGGCGTTGCTTAGTGACTAAATCTCACTGTCAGTAAATCCAAATTACTTATAACAAACCATACCTCTTCACACCATTTTTCCAAAGTCTCTTTGTTGGCATGAGCTAACTGAGTCCAGTTACTGATTCGCATCACGAATGTCTGCCCACTTTCATGAGTCAAGCTGAGGTAGCAAGTGCCGCCTTCAACATCTGAGGTAATAAGGACAGTTTCCTTGCAAGGGGTAGACGATGGCAAACTCTGAAGTAAAGCGAGTTTTACAAGGCGAGTGTATGGGTATCAAAAAAATTAAGAAAAACTGATATAGCAGGTCCAATTGGGAAATTTAATTAAGAAAAGGATTTGTTTACAATGAAATTTATGTTTTTGACATCCTAACCATGCATAGTTCTCAGTCCAATTAATGACGTACCATTGTCATGACAGGCGCTTTGAGCTCAGCGGACACAAAAGTGATCTCCATCGAAGCTGACACCACCGCCAAAATGCTACTGTCAGCTAACCAACCAATGCCACGGATATTAGTGCCGGCTGAAATAATCGAAAAGGGAGTAAATTATCAGAAATAAACTTGAAATAAACTCTAATAAACTCAGATTTTATGTTTGTTTTGCTGTTTTCACAACATTGTCAATAATCAAGCAAGAATAGTCTCTTGGCGCATTTACTACTCCGATGAAAAAATAGAGCTACCAAAAAAGCTTATTGATATCATTCGTTGAAGGTTTGCAGGATGTTTGTATGTAGTTTGAACCAGTGCAACCAATGTCCGGCGATTTTTTTCCATTAAAATAGTAACCTACTCCCGATAACCCAAGGATATCTCAATGCGGATCAAATTTGGGATAGATGTGCTTTGAAACTTACATTTAAAAGGCAAAATGAACAGATGCACCAGGTCAAAATTGCTAGAAAACACCGAGACATCGTCCCCAATGGCAATTGCCAGCCACTGTTCATTGCTTTCCGAGATTACGTTAGGGGGAGTTACTTCGAGTCCAGGTTCTTCATTTTCCGTATTATCAAAGTCGCCTGAAAGCAAAGCTCATCAGTAGATAAAGCCATGACATAGAAGTCCATTTCTTTAACCTGATACTGTAGCGAGAGTTTTTATTTCGTAAAGGCTCGCTAGGCTGGCGAACTCATCTCGCTTTCCAAAGTTCTTTGTCTCATCATCACCGAAGTCTGTGTCAACAACCGAATACCTCATCTGTAAATCACCGAGCAATGGCGTCCAAGGTAGTCACAAAAAGGGCAGACGAGTGCGAAAAGGTAATGATGAATTCCAAATGCAACAAGGATAAGAAATGAAAATAGACTTGAGCACCCAAATAACAGAAACACCAAACGAAACTGGGTTCTTCGCCGCGGTGAAATTTGACCAGACTGAAAAAGGAAAGTTTCAAAAAAGTTTCAAAACCATTTTTTTCCCGGCCGATTGGGGCCGGATGTGACTAGAGCGCGTTTGCGGCGCTGCAGACGAGCAGCTTCAACTTCCAAAAGTTAGCGTCCTAGGCAATGGCTGCAACCGTTCAATGTTCTAAACATAGTTTTACTACCAATGCGAAGTAGACAAAAAAGGAATTTCGGCGATGTCAGTTTGGCAGTTCACAACTCAAAAACCACTCAGAAATGAGTTCTCCGTTTAAGATTTTTTTTCGATTTTAAGAAGGCTATAATAGAAATCATGGGAGTATGGAAGCCATAGATGTCTGTCTGGGATTAGAATTGTGTGAAATCAATAGCAGTTTGGGAACTATGGAATGCATTCTTGCACATTCCATTATTAACACTCTCACTTTTGGCTTTGCTGTATATCAATACTTATCATTACTTGGCTTAGCCATTTTCCGTATCTTCCCTGAAAAAGATAGAAGGAGTCATGGAACTCAAACCAAATCTGACAGACATGGTGTAAAGGATGGGGCGTATCGTCTGCGCCCCAAAGAGGTTCCCATAGGTATAAGCTCCTGCAAGACGAAGGCGGTTAGTTCGATGTGCAACGCGGTTGCGACATAGCTTCGTCACAGCAGCGTCACAGCCGCGTCACAGCCACGTCGCGCCTCGAACCAACCGCCTTCGTCTTGCAGGAGCTTATACCACGTCATCTCGCTGCCTTTCGCACTTTTGAACGTGTTAACCTCGGGCACTTCCGTTGAAATCTCAGGAGAAACGTGTCAAAAAGAGCGAAAGGCAGCGTCGCACCACGTACGCACGCTGGTTCACATGGGAACCTCTCTGGGGTGCAGACGGTATGTTAGTGGGTCATGTTGTTTGGGACCTACCGATTGCCTCTATCGATTTATTGATTTTTTGCAGTTTTGCTTGGAAAATCTTTTATGTTTGCCCAGAAAGGATAGAAGGAATCACGAAATTTGGACCAGATTTGGCAAACTTAATGTATGGGATGGGACCTGTGTTAATAAGTCATTCTGTTGGGGACATATACAGTCTGCTCCAACCGGGATCAAACCGAAGCGTCGGCGTAAATTTGCGCGCTCGCAGCGCTAGCGGTCTGCGCTGCATATGCGCGCTATCGGAGAGAGCCAAAGGATTGAAGAGAGAGCGGAGAAACAGGCCGTGGGCGTGACCGCGAATCCCTAGCGACGCGGACTCCCGCCATGCCAATTTTGGCCTGGTTAGGATTGGGGCAGACTGTATGCTATATCCTCCTTATAAGGATTGCCCTCATCGATTTATTGATTTTTTGTGAGTTTTGCATAGCAAATTTTTCATGTTCGCCTAAAAAGGATAGAAAAAGGAGTGGAATCTGAACCAAGTTTGCCACACATAATCAAGGTTGGGCGTGTGTTAATAGGGCCATTTTGTTCGGAACATGGCCAATCCCCTTATCGATATATTGATTTTTTGCAGTTTGCATGATACCCGTTGCTTATGTTAGAATGATGAATCGAAATGTGACGAAGCCGAAACCATGTTCCCAGCTTTTCTTTCTGCGGTTATAAACCGAAGTAACGTTCAAAATGGCAATTATGAACCGTTCGGCAATTTAGAGTAAAACGAAAGATTTGCGTGGCGGCGAAGCTGCCCAGCCGAATCTGCCGTAGCGGCGGAAAGCGGCTGGTCTTATGATAATCAATGATAGCAGTTCCTGAAAATTTCCAAATTTTTGAGGGGAATATAGCTAGAAAGTCGTTTTGCAGATAAGAAAAGCAAAAAGTTCCCTTGTCTTGTATCAATTCTAAGACTAAGTTATTCCCATGCGCAAGCGGGCATAGCCCTGCAGAGATTTTAACAAGTTGAGAAACTTGTTGAACCTCCATTTTTAAAGCATCAGTTATTGTTCTTTCTAACTATCAGAAACTGCCACGCGCATATCGTCCCCTCCACAGATCGTGCTACCCTTGGTCTACGTCCCTGCCACGTGTGGCTAACATGTTGGCAACGTGGCAACAACATGTTTGCAACATGCCACAACATGTTGGCAGAACATTTTGGCCAACATGTTGCTGCATGTTGCCAACCTGTTACTGCCAACGTTGCCAACGTGTTAGTCACACGTGGCAGTCCGCGACGCCACAAGGGAATAGTCTGCCCCAATCCTGACCAGGCCAAAATCGGCATGGCGGGAGTCCGCGCCGCGAGGGTTTCGCGCCACATCTGCGGCTAGCTAGTCTGCTCTCTCCTCGATCTCTTCACTCTCTGCGGCAGCGCGCGTATGCAGCGCAATCCCCTAACGCTGCGAGCGCGCAAATTCAGCCGACGCTTCGGCCTGATCCCGATTGGGGCAGGCTGTAGCACGATCTGTGGAGGGGACGATACGTTGGCAAACGTGGGCAAAGCTCCGCGCGCTAAGCTGAGAGGAATGGACGACATCTGCAAAAGACTGGAAAACGCTTCGCACACATTGTTTGAACAAACTTGAAATTGCTTTTTCCTGTTTCCAGGTGACATAAAATCCTAGATTGGACAGATCACAAGATGAACTTGTTAACCACACGAACAAGCTTTTGTTGGTAATGTAGTAGATATGCAAAGTAATAGTCTCGATTGTCTTACTCAAAATGATATAATAGATGCGTCCGTCAAAAACTTCATTTCTGAACGAGAATTGTTCTTCTTGAGAATGCAAGAACTTGGTTCTTGCTGCGCGTCGGTCGAAAGCCTTGAGCGTTCTTCAAATGATATCAGTCATTCTCTGAAGGAAGACAAGAGCACACTTTGCGTACGTCTGATCAACAACTTTATGAGTGTTCAAAGGGTTTTAATAAATTACTATTGAAAATTCGTGAAAGAACATGTTCGATCTCGAGCATGTCCTTCCGCGAACTCCCATTAGATCAAAAACGCGTTAGCCCTCGGGCAGGATCCATGCTATTTCGTCGTCGCGATTCATCGCGACAAGACAGCTGTAACAAGATCATTGCATGCCGATCTTCTTGTACTTCGGTTGTAATAGTTTTCCAACACGACTAATCGTGACTAACTATCACAGCCGAAATACAAAAAGATCGGCATGCAATGAACTCGTAACACCCTTGTCGCCATGAATCGCGACGATGAAATCGCGTGAACTCTGCCCGAAGCTTTAGAATGCACTCGTGAACTTGTTTATCTGAAGTATAAACAGCTTGTAGCCGTGGCTCTCTTAGTCAGAGATAGATGATACGAAGAATCAGTGATGCTATGTAAGGTGCTGCCGAAAAGGTTGTAAGGTTCCTTCACATTCCTTCATACTACGTCGCAGGACGCAGCGTGCTGCGGCGCACACCACATGATGCAGCAGCCTGTGGCAGCACGCGGCAGCTCGCGGCAGCACGCCGCGTCCTGCGGCGTGCGTAGCCGCAGTCGCAGTGAAAAGATAGGCTCGCTCGCTGTGAAAAACACTCTCGGAGAACACGACGGTGCAGCAAATACAGATATACATCCATAACCGGCGAAGCTGTGCTGCCGTGAGCGTATATTTTCACTGCAACTGCAGCGGAGTGCTGCCGCGTGCCGCGGCAGGCTGCTGCGTGCTGCAATGAGTAGTTTGAAGGAGCCCGTAGCAAGTAGGGCCCTCTGGCAGTGGTACGAAGTGCTAAGGTAATGATCAAAGCCAACAAAACCTACATGAAGTAAGAGCCGGTCAATTTTACCTCTTTGAAATAGCTCTTCTGACTATCTCTTCCAGTTTCTCAGAAACTACACGATTTTGAAGTAACACTATCCAAACTTTAAAAAGCGAATTCGTGGATCCTCCATTCATTGACCGCATGAATATCGTAGTAGTGTGCTGCTGTCGCTGAGCGCGGTCAAAACGCGGCTGTTTTTATAACAAAATAACAGTCAGCAGCTCTGACGCTCGGTGCGTGCGCCGCGCGCGCTCCCCGTGCGGCGCTTTGTAGTCATAGGTGCGATAGGGGGAGCCGGGCCCTCTCCAGGTGAGGAAGGTCTCTGCTACTCCCATCCTTGTAAGGTGAAGGGGGTAAGTGAGCCCTGAAAGCAACATGCCCCAACAAGTTAAAGGCTGCTGCATGACGAAGGCGCAGAAGCGGCATCAGTTGAGCAGGCGCGAACGCGGCGCGCACGTATCCTCACCGTTGTAAATCCTGCGCCTCATGCGCTCTGCGACTAGTAAAGCCGCGATCGCGCCCAAAGGTATTGCGCCTTCGTCATGCAGCAACCTTTACATACCATTCGAAAGCTGAGGTCATACAGAATCGACAACCGTCGACTTTTTTCTAGGTCTTCTGTGCCGCGAGCTATGAGGCATTTTATGTACTCCATATATCAACTGATTTTGTACTATGAGAAAGTCGACGGTGTACATTGGTTAGTGAAAATTTGCTCTGTAACATAGATAGACAACCAGCAGTTATCACGTTTCTGTTTGGCACAATGCTGTTGAAAATGGACATGATATATAAATTGCAGTGTACCTCTCGGTAGAAGGGGCTAGAAAGAAGTCGACGGTCTACGTCGAATCCCCTTTTCCTGAACTTTCGAATGGTATATAAACTGCTGGGCGAAAAAACTTGCCAATTTTTCAAAAATGGGGTGGAGGTATTCACTATTAGCTTGCTCCACCTAGCTCCCCCAATGTATTGGCTTTTATCGGTCACCGGAGCAAGTGCTTTTTAGAGCCGTGAAGCAAGAAAGCCCTTACATGCTTTACACCATTCGAAAGCTGAGATCATGAAGAATCGACGTAGGCCGTCTCTTTTTTCATAGCTTCTCCGTGAAGCGAGATACGAGCAATTTTATACG